ATAAATGTTTTACTTGGTCAACCTCTAAAATACCTTTGCATGAAAAGCATTAAAATATCAGGTGACCTTGCCTTTCTCCTCCCACAAAAATATGAAGAACAAAATATGCCTTATTGGTTTGTTAGCACAGAGTGCTTTTACATCTCCTTTAAAATGCCTACCCGGTTGCTTGTCATTATTAAAATATTGTTTCAATTGAAGTGAAAGATGAATGTAAAAGGAATGATAAATAAGGTATTAGACTGTGAAGAGAGAAACAGAGTAAGAAGGTGCTCAGAGTTCTAGAGAACTAGTTTTTATTTTTGAATGTGTGCTGTAGAAACAAGAACTGTAATTCGTCAGAAAAAGTATGCTCAGGACCAATTGTGAAACTCTAATTGCATTAAGGGATTCTAAAGACTAAGAAAGACTAATATTTTGATACTGTACAGAGAGACTGTAAGCTACAGTAATACATTAGTGCAGTTATATTGCAAATATATTAATGAAAGTGTAGCTTCAAGGCTTATTTGATGTTGGAGTTAAGTGTTGTGTGTAAACTGCCAGCTAATTGGAATTAAATCTTCATTGTGCCAGGTAAAATCATAAAAATGGCCCAGCTGTTCTCCATCAGGGCATTCAGTATGGTCCTTTTCTACATGTTGCAAGGTGAAGATCCAGATTTCTGCTGACACACTGTGCTACAGAATGAGATATCCTTTTTTGGAAGGCAGTGTTTGCTAAATAAAGAGTTTGGTATTACAGATCCTATTACGTTATTTTACAGGAAATCACCTCAAGTCAAGAGTACTTTCCGTTGGATTGGCCCAGGTTATTGGGCAGTTCCTGTGCAATTCATGCAATGACTAATACAGAAGCATTTAACAACTTTGTTGCATTGATTCAGTTTTATTGTATCTTTTGTAAAAATGTCATCACATTTTAAGAACAGGTACTAAGCCTTCTGTCCCTCTGAAAGACGAGTACGATAGCCTAGTGCATCACTCCGTTATCCTTAACGGGTCTTGTAGGAACAGTTAGGGTCAAGACTGAAGTAATGCCTATAAATGTTGTTCTTACAGTACCAATTGTTAGTTACTTTGTTTTCTTCATGGACTTCCCTTTTTGCTTGTTAACACGTTTTTGTGTTTCTTTTTGTAAGGACGTTCTAAAACCTGATGTTTAAGACCTTTATGACACAGTTCATGTTACATAGATTCAAGAGGAAAATTCCACTTTTTCTCTGTGCGGCAGTGGAATTATTTTAAGTGTTACATCACAGAATGGTTGAGGTTGGCAAGGACGTCTTGAGATCACGTGGTTCAATACCCCTGCTCAATGCAGGATCAAGTAGAATAGGTTGCCCAGAACTGTGTGCAGTCAGGTTTTGAATATCTCCACTGATGGAGACTACACAATCTCTCTGGGCAGCCTGTTCCAGTGCTTGACCACCCTCACTTGGAAAAAAGTGTTTTCTTGTGTTCAGATGGAATTTCATACTTTTTACCTTGTGCCCATTGTCTGTTGTCCTGTCAGTGAGCACTGTTTTTTCTTCATTCCCTCCCATCAGGTAATTATACATATTGATGAGATCCCCTGCTCTGAATCTTCTCTTCTCCAAGCTGAGGTGTCCCAGCTCTCTGAGCCTCTCTTCTTAGGAGAGATGCTCCAGTGCCTTTAATTTTCCTGGCCCTTTGCTGGACTCACTGTAGTAAGTCCCTGCCTTTCTTGGTTTAGGGAGCCCAGGAGTGGACACTGCACTCCAGGTGTGGCCTCACCAGTGCTGAGTAGAGAGGAAGGATACACCTCCCTTTACCTGCTAACAATGCTTTCCCTAATGCAGCCCAGGATATTGTTGGACTTTTTTTCCTGTGAGGGTGTGCTGCTGGGTCATGGTCAGCTTGTTGTCCACCAGGACCCTCAGGTCCTTCTTTGCAAAGCTGCTTTCCAGCTTCTCAGGCCCCAGGCTCTATCTGGTCTCTGGGGTTATTCCTCCCCAGATAAAGGACTTGGCATTTCCCCTTGTTCAGCTTCATGATATTCCTCTTAGTACAGTTCTCCAGCCTGTCAAGGTCTCTTTAAATGGCAGCACAATTCTCTGATATGTCAGCTTCTCCCTCCAGTTTTGTATTGCCTGCAGGGTGCAGCAGGTATAATGAAGATGTTAAACTGTTGGCACCAGTGTTGAGTGCTGGGGTGCACTACTAGTGACTGGCGTTCAATTGGACTTTGTGCCACTGATCACAATCTTCTGGGCCTAGTCTTTTAGCCAGTTTTTAGTTGGCTTCATTCATCTAATCCGTACTTTGTCAGCTTGTCTTTGAGGATGTTATGGAAGACGGTATTGAAAGTCTTATCAACATTGTGGTAGACAGCATCCACTGCCCTTTCCTTGTTCACCACTCTAGCTGCTTCATCATAGAAGGCTATCAGCTTGTCAGGTATGATTGCTCCTTCATAAATCCATGCTGACTACTCCCAGTGCCTTCTTGTCCTTTGTGTGGTTGGGAATGGTTTTCAGGAGCATTTTCTCCATCACCTTCACAGGCATCGAGGTGAAGCTTGCCCACCTGCAGTTCTCTGAATCTTCCTACTTGAAGACAGGGGTGATGTCTGCTCTTTTCCAGTCTTCAGGAACCTCTCTCGGTTGCCATTATCTTTCAAAGACTGAGAGTGGCCTGTCAATGACATCAGTCAGCTCCCTCAGCATTCGTGGGGGCATCTCATCAGGGCCCATGGACTGCTACATGTCCAGTTTGTTTCAGTGCTCCTGGCACCTGGTTGTCCTTCACCAAGTTTAAATCTTCCTGTCTCCAGGTTTTTGCTCTGGCCTGAGGTGCCTGGGATTCCTGAAGGCTGGTCTTCCCAGTAAAGACTGACACAGAGAAGGCATTGAGTACCTTGGCCTTTTGTGTGTCCTTGGTGATCAGTTCCCCTGCCCCGTTCAGCAACAGGCCCACATATTCCCTAGTCTTCCTTTTGCTGCTTGTGTACTTGCAGAACCCTTTCTTGATGCCTTTCACATCCTTCACCAGATTCACCTCCTGGTCAGCCCTCGCTTTCCTAACTCTACCCCTGCATGATCAGAGAGCAGTTGTCTTCCTACTGGGTCACTTGCCTCTTCTTCCACCTCTTGTGCTCTTCCTTTTCACGTCTGAGTTCAGCGAGGAGCTCCTTACTCATCCATGTGGACCTCCTGCCACCTTTACTTGATTTCCTATTTGTTGTGATGGATGGACCTTTTTGAATTTTCACCTTTTCTTAAGTTTTATGCTTTATGCAATGTTTTAATGCATCTGTGAGGCTCTGATGTTTTATAATAGTTATGTCAAATACAATAAATGTAATCCTGTTGTAACAGATGATCCTAGTGAGATGCTAATAACGTTTCCCTATCAATTTAAAACAAACAGTTAGGGAAGCTTGTGTTCTGTGGTCTTTAGTAGAAGGCGATCATCTGTGTAGGAAATCACACAAATATACCTGGGGTTATTCCTCCCCAGATGCAGGACTTGGCATTTCCCTGTGTTGAACTGTGTGATATTCTTCTCTGTCCACTTTTCTAGCCTGTCAAGAATGCCTTTGAATGGGCATCTCTTGAGGAAGTCGTGTTTTCCATATGGTCTAATGACTGCTACTGGTACTTCCCAAGATGCTTTGATTTGTTAGGAATTAAAACAAACAAACAAGCAGGCAATCTAGCCTCTTAATTTTGAAAATGTGCTTAATCATTAATGTTGTTTTTGTGGCAAGAAGCGACATCTCTGCAGATGAGGTAGTCTTATTTGTGTATGTGCATGTTTAGGACAATCTGGCATTCAAAATGTGTTTAATAATCTTGGGCTTTGCCTTTAACTCTGAGTAGATATATTATTAGAACGAGTAGAATAGTTTTAGCAAGATTTGCAACAGAAATTATCCTTTCCCAGGTATATTAAGAAAAAAAACCCAAAATCAGCAGGTTCTTAGCTGCAGCCTCAGTTATTAAGAAGTCTGCAAAGCTGTCTAGTTCTACGGGCTGCCTATTAATAAATGTGCTGTGGTTTCTGACTTAAATCTTTGTAATGCCCTGTCAAGGCTCAAAAACTTGAAGAAACAGTCTCAGGATTTTGTTCTTGGAGCAATGAGCAAAACTACCAGTTCAGGCAGAACACTGGAGATGCTGAGTATGAATGGAGTCTCTGGCTCTACTTAGTATTTGAATCTAATTTTTATTTTTGTTTGTCCTTGTGTAACTGTAAAGGGCTGTGTGTTTTGAAGACTAGGGTTTTTTTTAAGTTTTTTTAGGTTGCTGAAAGGTGGGATTGAGTTGAGTCTTCTAACAGGCATTTCAAGTACTATTTTTAGTTTAGTTTCTGATGACCTCATCCCATGCCATTTTAAGAGGTCTCAATTGTTTTCGATGGAGGCATTGATAATTGGTAGCAGAACGGCATGTAGGCTTCTGGCTTGTCTTCTGTTGAGTCACTTAAAAAAAGTAATCTAGTCTTGGTGAGGTTGAATTATGTGGTGAATTATCTCTTAAGTTTAGGTCATGTCTTGCTCTCAAGAAGAAAAATGTGCAGTTGGTTTTTGAATATCCAGAATGAGAAGGTAGAGAGAATGTGAGCAAAGCAATAATATGGATAGTACAAACATAAAGTTTTTCTAATATGCAGGAGAAGTGTAATGAAATAAGAAAAACAGATTGACTGAACTGAGTATTTTAAATCAGTGTTTAATAAGTAAGATTACCTACTGGTTAAGATTGAAACTACTACTCCAGTTTAAGTCACAGTGCCACTAATCAGTGGTAATGTGTCTGTACTGTTTATAGACCAACTTGGAGCCAGTCACTGCGTGTTAGCTCCTTTGCGGTGACTGGTTTATAAACATACTTGAGAGCTTGTTTGATTTGCCTGCTAGGAATGTAATGCATGCTTGAATAATATATAATCAGTCTCTGTGCAGTAGTTTTAAGAAAGTTGTTAGTTATGATTTTAGAACTCAATTAACTTACTTTTATTTCTTTTCAGGATGGCTTGAATTCTTTGGTCCTTGATCTGGATTATCCAGCACTGAGGAAGAACAAGAACATTGATAATTTCTTAAATAGATGTAAGTTGCAAGTGGCCCTTAAACAATGACGTTGTTGTAATCTCAGTCATGGGAACAGGAGTGGTCAGAAATGCATTGCTGATTTTCATTTTACCGATTTTTTTATAACTCTGAACTTCTATATTCAGAAGGCTTTGGAGGACCGTTTATTATAGAGAAGTTTCATTTTGAAGAATCACTGTATTATTGAAAATATGTTGGAATATACCAGCTGTAGATTATGATTTTTCCAACTACAGTTGGAAAAATCCTTTTATGTTATTTTTTTCTTATGTATATGCAGCAATGTAATTTGCAAAGGATATCCCAGTTATTATTTATGAATTAATTGCTCAAAATATCATCATCGTATATACAGTCTTATTTAATCTAACAGAGAGGCCTTCTGTTGATTTTTAAAACTAAATTATTATACCTTAAAATATCTTGGTGCATTTTCAAACCTTTATGTAAATGTTTGTGATTCTCCCCAAACTAATTGTAGGTAGGATCTTGGCATTTATTGAGCGTATGAAAATGGAAGACTGTTACATCAGAGTAGCTGTATTTTGTCTTTTTAAAGTGCTTTCTCTCCATGTATATAAGCAATTCTTTTTTTCTTGAAAAAATACTGGATTATTTGCTTTAAAATGTAAGTTGCAGTGAGTAAGCCTTCTTGGAACGACTATGCTTTGCAGTGAGCTTATTTTGAGATTTAAAAAAACCCCCAAAACTTTTCTATTGCATATGTTAAGATTACTGCAGGTGCAGTCTTATCAGCAGCTCTTCTTTTGATTCTTTACTGGTAAGAGCTACGTGTGGGCCCTCTGTTGCTCTAGGACTCATTTGAATATCCACTCATGCTCCTCAGCTGCTGGTGTAGTCATTTGGGTGAGTTCTTATGTTTGGAATTCAGTGCTATGACAGTATCACAAATTTTATGAGCTGTTCAGATTCTCCTTTATATTACAATACTATTTTTGCAGTAGGACAAAATTGGAAACCTTTTTCTAATCAGAAGACCAGTATCTTGTGGTACCTGGCTATTAAAAATAGCAACTGTGGGAAAACAATTTAACCCTGGGAAGAGGTTTTTGGGGTTTTTTTTGCTGCAGCCCTTGAACATTCTTGCTATCTGTCTTCTTTTTCTGAAGGCTGTTGCTTCTTACCCTGCTCTAGCTTCTCTCCCATTGGTAATATTATTAAGCATCTGATGTGGCCTGCAGGCTACCAGCAATGGCAGAAACCCAAAAATATACTTTGGTTCACGTTTTTGTTCTGCCTTTTTTTCTTTCTTTATAACAGCTGACACTTGACAGTTGAAATAGGCAGATACTAGTTAAAAAAAATTCTGAGATGTCAAACAACAAATTTCACAGTAGTCAATGAAGCTGAACTTTAAAAAACTTTAAAAACTTTTTAAAAAAGCACTTAAGAACTGACTGGTTTTGCTGACACATTGTGAGACCCTGCATCTCTCTTAAGAATCACCCATGTAACCTCTCTCCTGTTTCCATACTGCCTGAGGGAGAATGAAAAATAGTGCTGCATATCTTCTGTGGTTTACTTTTAAAAAGAAAATAAAAATAGTGAAATGAGAGTTTTGTAAACAGCTGAAGCTGGTAATATTTCAGCGTTGCAACTGAATCAATCAGTCCTGCCACAGCGATGTGTTTCAGTGTCCTCTCCGACACAGGTGTTTGTGTGGTTTATTATGAACGAGACTGGGGAACTGAGCATAATTGATGCAAAGAGTGGGGTGATTGGTTTGTTTGTTCTTTTTGTTAAAAATAGTCAGGCAAAAGAAAAGCAAAGGCCAGTTTCTGATTTTAATTTCATTTCATTTCACTGATATTTGTGCCAGCACAAAGGCAGCTGCTTGTGTGCAGGAAAAAACAGGAGGACAGTTGGATTCTTAGTGGCATTGCCATTTTATGCAGTTTAAAGTTGCTGAACCCGTAGCTCATGTCTTTTTGGAAACTGTTCTGAGAGTAGCAAGTATGAGTGCAAAGGAAGAGTGTACACATGCTTGCTGAAGCCTCTTGCTACCTTGGACTTGGAAGAAGATTTGGGAATTGTATTAAGAATTTGTGGAACAGTAAGTTGTTGCTCTCTTAGGTTAGGGAACAGTGAGTTCTTGTCTCTTCTGATTTTTTGCAACATCTGAAGAGCTGTAGCGAATGCCTAGATGAGAATTACTGTCAAAAGGTTCTGACAGACTCTGCTGAGCGGTCTGTGCCGGGGGCCTGGAGCCTGAATCCTGAATCCCTCCTCAGGGCTTCCTGAGGCGACCGCAGAGGGGTGGCGGGGCCATCCTCTGAGTTAGCACTATAGAGTGCAGAGTGAAGCAGCTGAGGCAGAGTTGTCACTTACAATTGTTTTAATCCATATTACACAAATCTTCAAAAATTGTTGAGAACACTGCAATAACTGTCACACTTTCAGTCAATTTAATCACTGGATTCTTCCACTGTAACACTTGGAGAGGGAAAATTTTTTTTTCTACCATATTCCCAGGGGTTTGGGTATACCCTGCTTCAGACCTGCTGCGAGTCATTGCTAAGCAGGTTAATGTTTTATTAATAGCTTGTTTTACTTTTAAAATGAAGAAGTTTGCATTTCAGGTGAGACATTAATTGATATTCAGCTCAACTCGTAGTTTCAAGCTGAAACTCAAGTGTTTTAACTCATTTCGCAAAGCTACAATTTATTAATTGCCTGTACTGTAGGACTTTGGTATATCCTGTTTCTGTGACCACTTTGCAGAGGCAGCCTCTTCACGTGTTTAATAAGAAATAAACTTTTTTATTGTCTGCTTTTGCTTACTATTCTGATTTCTTACCGCTTTCTCTAAGGCATTGAACCAAAGTAGAGCATGTATTTATTATGAGGCACGTAAGTATCTCATATTACAGCCATTCCTTTTCAGTCTCTGTATGGCTTTAATTAACTGTTAGGATTCTGGTTAGATTGCTGCTTTTTTTGAGTATTCATGGGACAGGAAAGCATAACGTAATATTTAATTCCCAAAACAATGAGAGGAATCTCAGAGTCCTCTAAGAGTAAAAACTGGCTTGCTTATTTTAGAAAAGAAGCTTGAGCTTTCCAGCATGGGCTTGGTGTAACAAATCTTTTTTGATCTTTTCTTTTCCTGTTCTGTCATCTAGGCTATGACAACAGGTTAAGTAAACTCTTCCGAGTGACTTTTTCTGCCATCTGAGATTTGCAAAGTATTGAATCATATCTTAGTGGCTTGTGCCTTTTTTGGTGGTCTCCCATGCAGGTACTACATAGCCTGTTACCTGCTTTAACTTCTGGGAGCAGAATGTTAAATAATTAAGCAACAGTTTTAAGCAGCAGTTAAAAATATTTAATTATTTTTAATCTTATCATCAGGAATAGAAGGGCATGGAGAATGGATTTTGGGGAAGTCCAAACAGCAGCACAGGCCTGGTATGATCCAGAAGCCTCAACTCCCTAAACGGATCAGTGACTTCCTATACATTATTCAGCCTCACTCAATGGAAACTTCCATTGTTAAAATGATTTGCCGATGTTTTGGAGGTTGTCAAACTTCTAGAGTGTAATAGTAATGGAAGTATTTACAGTAGAAGGAATTTTTAGTACAGGTGTGTCACTCATGCAGCAGCTTTGCTCACCCCCTGAATAAACTTCCTGAAAAGTTGCTTTTGCCATTTTCCTCTCCAAGCAGACACTGCTTACTTAGAAGATTTATCTGTTAAGATTAACTTCTTGCAAAAGTAACGGTTCTGGTTTCTTCCCTTACGTTTTATGTTGCTTGAAGTTGCCGAATCGTCTGCCAGCCGTGCAGTTACCGACAGAAATGTGTTATCTGGTACAGTGTTAATGCTGTTCATGGCTGTAATTATCTGTGCTCCACACTTCTGTCAGTGACACAGGTGAAATGTCAGATGCTAAGAAGGATCTTAGAAATTTAATGTGCTGTGGAACTTACACTGAGTTAAGGAGCTAATTGGCCCTGTGGTTTTCTCTTGGCTTCTTTAAGGCTGCTCCTTGCCAGGTCTTTGCAGTCGCCTCAGCAGGTTGGGCTCCAGTTCCGTTCTTAATGATACTGTTCTGGTAAGAGTAGCTATGGGAGAGGTGTCAAGTAAGAAACTTTTCCCAAGCAAAGCATGAATTAGTGCCACAGTTTTTAGATGTCTTAGATGTATAAACAAGTTGTATATCAGTGTTATTAACCACTTTTCCATTTGGATACTTGGTGGATACAAAGCAATTCAGTTCTACCATCAGGCTTACTTTCATTGAGTCAGGGATGTGTCCTCTGCAAGTCGGAGGACTGCTGCTTTCTGTTTCCCTGTCTCCCGCTCCTTTGTCTATGCAAGACAATACTTCCCTGTTTCTTTTCTCTAGAGGGGGAAACACTAACCCATCTGAAGCTATGCCTTCTAGTTTCTGCTGCTTCTGCAAGGTCTCCAGCAGCTTCTTGTTCCTCACACACCTTTGACCAGATCTTATGTATGCACCCCTAATTACTTCAGTCTTTCTGTTGTGCTTTTTTGTTTGGTTTTGGGCTGGTGTGGGATTGCAGCACTTCCTGGCTGTATTTCCGTTTAACTTCTGGCTAGACTTTTGCCTAGGGCAGCAACTTTTGACTTAAATGTACTCCATAGCAGCACTCATTGACTGACTGTGTCTGGTCTGTGAGGATAAAATTGCACTCCCTTGCATTTTTATTCCTCGTATATACACACCCCCCAGAACTGCCTGATACATGTTCTTTTTAACTTGTAAGAAAATAACCTGGATATGAACATACTTTTTTTCCTCTAAGAGCAGAAAAGCTTGGGTTTCTGCTCCTCCCCACCCCCCTTTAGTCAGGTATTTATTCCATTTTCACAAGCACTTGTAACCTTCAGCCACATTCTTGCTGCCAGCTGTCAGTGGCTGATCCAAACACTCTGCCCTTTCAGAAAGTGAAGCTTCATTTGTTTAAAGGTTATAGTGCCATTTTGGAGTAGTAAATCAAAAGCTGTCTTTAAACACTCTTGCTATCAAAATTCCTGGTCCTTCTGTGTTAATGAAGAAACCTGAGTCATCGGTGATGACATTCTCACGTTTGAGGACTTTTACTCAAATGTCACAATATTTTTATAAGATTCCATTATATTCTGGGGCTGGGGAGTCCATCTAATGTCTTTCTTTAAACCTGACATTTTTCTTCTGCTGGGCTTCGTGCTGTTGCAAATTCATGAGGCCCTAAGATAGTCTGTGGTATCTGTGCATACTTATATCACAAATGTACAAACTCATCTGTGTGAAACCTTCTGAAAATTCAGTCCTCTACTAAAGGGGTAGTGTTGGAAAGGTCTCCTGCACCTTGAATTAGAATGTTATGTGATACATGAACTAAATCATATGATCCAGCATGTTGCAATTATGATATTGCTTCAGGGTTTCTCTGAGCTTGCCTTCTTGCAGCTTGTTTTTGTTTCAGGTTAGTTCCATGCTTTTATTATCTGTTCAGTATATGTTAAATTTTATGACAAAATAGACAATCCATCTGTATAACTGATATCTAGGGATGCAGGTGTTGTGGAGGTGATTATTATTATTTTTAAGATTATGTTCTTAGCTTCTTCTCTAAGGTTTCATGATTCACTGTAGAAAATAGCCTCAGAATTCTCTCAACTCCTTTTCCTGTTCACACTCTGGATTACTTCAGTCTTGCTGGTATGCTGAATGTAACAGATTTGTCTGCTTTTGAGGTTTTAGTTGCCTCTGTCCTTACAACTTTACTGGCAGACTCTTTTCTCTCATTATTAAATTCTCTTTTTTTCCTTTAAATTCCTTCCCCTTCACACCTAATCTTTTCCTCAAAACAGGAAATTTTTAGCTGCATTTTTGTGTTCCACAGGTTATGAAGGACCTCTGGAGGTCAACCGGTCCAACTCTGCTCAAAGCCAAGCCAGTTCTGTTGTTAGATCAGGTTGTTCAGGTCCTTGTGCAGCCCAATTTTGAAAATTTCCAAAAACGGAGGTTTTACAGCTCTACCAGACAGTCTGCTCCATTCCCCAATTCTAGGGATTCTTTACCTACAAAGTAGGATTTCTGATGTTCCAACTTATGTGTTGCCTCTTGTCCTTTTGCTTTGCACCTCTTAGAAGTAAAACCTGCTTTCAGATTCTGTTGAGGCCAACCATTTAAACTTCCCTAAGCTCAACAGTTCCAGTTCTCTCAGCTTCTCTATGAGCATCATGTGGTCCCATTCTCTAAGCACCTTGGTGGCTTTCCATTCAGCTAGGGAATGTTTTGATATTTCACTTGCACTGGGGAGCCTAAAGCTAGACATAGCATTCCAAATGTGGTCTCACAAGAGGGGAAAAATCATTTCCCTCAACCTGCTGGTTATGCATTTACCAATGCAGCCTTGTGTGCAGTCAGAACGAAGGCTTGCTGCTCATTCCTCTTTGGTCATCGCCTTGTCCACCAGGGCTCTGAGGTCCTCTTTCTCAAGGTGTCTTCTAGGTGGTGAGTGCCATCCTGTACTGTTGTGTGGTGTCATTCCATCCCAGCTACAGGACTTTGCATTTGCCTTTGAACTTTGTGAGGTTCCTGCCAGCTCATTTACCCCTCCTGTCTGGTCTCTGTGAGAAGGAGCCCTACCCTCCAGTGTATCAACTTTGAAGCGCTGACCATGACTCCAGCAAGTTTTCAACCTACCTTGTAATTTCCCTGTGCAATCCATGACAGCCTGGTTTGGCTTCAAAGATACTTTGAGATGCTCTGTTGAAAGTCACGAAAGGAAAAGTGTACAGCTCTCCCCTTGTCCACCAAGACACACATCTCGTCATGGAAGGCAGGTTAATCAAACACAGTTTGCCCTTTTTAGATCCACTCTGGCTGTTCCCATCCTTTCTTGTCCATGAAGTGCTTGGAAGTGGATTCCAGAAGGATTTGCTCCATGATCATGCTGGGCAGTGAGGTTAGGCTGCTGTTCCAGCCTGTAGCTTTCTGGATCCTCCTTGTTGCCCTTCTAAAACACGGACATGACATTTACCCTTTACCAGCCATCAGGAGCCTCCCCAAGTTGCCATGACCTTTCAAAGGTGATAGAGACCAGCCTGGTACTGGTGTTGACTGGCTCCTTCAGCATGCTCAGATGCATCCTGTGTCATCTCATGGCCCCATGTATGTCAAGTTGATCCTTCTCCATGTCCTTTGGCACTCAATCTCCTACTCCACCAAGAGCAGCAGGCCCACATTTGCCTCGTTCTTTCTTTTATTGCCAGTGTATTCATAAAGGCTCTTGTTTCCCTTCCTAACCCTGGCTAGCTTCAGTTCCAGCTGAGTTTGGCTTTCCCAGTTCCATCCTGCTCCTCCGTGGTAGCCCATCTCTGCTTCCATGTTCCAAACCTTCACTTTTTGTGCTCGAGTTGAAGCAGAGGATGCCCATTCTGCCAAACTGGCTCTCTGCCATGCCTGCTCGATTTCTTGCTAACTAGAACAGACTGTTCTTGTGCTGTGAAGATGTCATCTTTGAAGATCAACCCACTCTTCTACCCTCCACAGCAGCTTCCCACGGGATGCTGCCTATAAGTTCTCTGAACAGGCTACAGTCTGTTCTCCTGAAGTCCAAAGTCTGCTCTTATCCTTCCTTAGTTCTCTCTGGGTCTTAAATTCCACCATCTCAAGGTTGCTTCAGCCAAGGCTGCCACAGACTTTGTCACCCCTGGCCAGTTCGTTCATGTTTGTGGATAATAGATCAGAGTGCCCCCCTGACTGGGTTTGTTGTTCACTTGGGTCAAAAGAAATGTTCTTGATCATCAGGCATCTCCTGGATTGCTTGTAGCCTGCCAGGTTGGTTGCTCTTGATGAACGTGCAGGAATGGTTAAACTATTTACTGAATGTTTATTATCATTAACTCCCTGCTGACAATGTAATCTTTAATGTCATACCGAATTAACTGTACCTCTCATCCCTTTTTTTCCTGTATTCAGATCTGAGATCCCCTTTAATGCCTTTCTTGGGATCAAATTCCACGGTCTTTGAGTGTAAACAGGGATCTCGCAATATACACCTCTATTCCTCTCTGAATATAAGCGTCCACAGCTCTTAATACAATTCCATGCTCTTCCCTGGTAGAGGTCTTGCTCCAGCCAACCTATTTTGCTTTGTTTTGTTCTTCCTTTAAGCATGTGTGGGGATAATGTCAGAGCTTGTCACCTTAAGAAAGATTACCTCCACTGTTATGGATTTCATTAATTGTTCCCATTGCCTTTGCAATAAGAATAGATTTTTAAAATGCATTTATCCAGGAATTCATTCACTTTAGTATGCTACATTTACAAAATTATGGAGTCTAGGACCTTGCATGTTTTTAGAATTGGTCAGAGGTCAGATTTTCACTGGTTTTCCTTACACATTCCCACAACCGCCAACAAGAAAGACACTGAAAGAGCTTAACTGCAGAATACTGCACCAGAGGGTACTTGAACAGAGCATCATAGACCTAATTTTCAAAAGTGTAGAACTACACATGCAGTCAACACTAAAAAGCACTTTGAGATGGCCAGCAGTTACTTAAACATATGTAAATTTGAATTAATAGTTCATATGGAATGAATGAGTGGATCTCATAGCCCTCCATGTTCTGAAGTTGTACACGAAGGTTATGGAGTTGTATTCCTCCCCGTTTGACTGCTGTTGAACCCTCCAGGTGTGCAGGAGCAGGTTGCATCTGCAGTGCTTTTGTGTGCACCAGGTGGTGCACACTCCTGTGTTATCAGTGGAGAGTCAGTGGATCCTGGCAGCACAGCGGGTGGCAATGAATAATTGTCTGAAAATTCAAGATAGGCATCTCTGGTTCTTGTGAAGGATCTTCGTTCTCGTGAATGATTATTAGAGGTGTGAAATGAGAGTCAGCAAAATCCAAAAGACAGTTCAGCTAAAGGTAGATGGTTAATAGTTTTCAAACAATAATGAAAGGGGATACTAATTGTGACTGCAGATTTCAAGAATTACCAACGCGGCTTTAAACATTTAAATAAAAAAAAGCTTATTTTGACTCTGAATGAAAAATGTTAGAGAAAATTCTTGTATTCTCTTAATGCATGCATTATCACAACTTCTATTTGATTTGTTTTAGATGAGAAGATTGTGGAAAAAATCCGAGCTTTACAAATGAAAGCTGAAGACTATGATGTTGTGAAGGTGATTGGAAGAGGGGCTTTTGGAGAAGTGCAGCTGGTAAGGATTTAATGATTAGACAGATTTACGGCTCTAGCCAAAACCTTCTCCAGTCTTGCATGCTTTATGTCTAAAAATGCATCCTTATAAAGAATAAGTGTTATTTTCATTGTATTGTAAGGTCATTTCTGTATATCTGAGTTTAAAACATGATGGGTTGGAATTGAGAAACAGTTTGCTATCCTTTCATCAAAATGGAAGAGGCAGTTCATGGTAATTCTAAACTTTTTTGTTCGCAGGCATTACTGTGTCGTATCTGAAACCTTCCTATGAAAGAGCAAGCTAATAGTGCAACAAAAAAAAATAAAATGGTTTGCTCTTAAAATTGTGCTGCTTGTATTATATTTAACTGACATGACTCATGTAAGATTGTCCACTCAACATTGTATCCTGTATAATATCTAATGTAAGAATGGAATTACTTTTTAAATTTATATTGCAGAACAATTCTATTTAAAAAAAAAAACAAACAATCAAAATACATAAAGTAACTTAGTATGTCATTCAGAGTCTGCTTTTCATTTAATTTTGATTTTTCCTGGACTTCCAAGTCATACTGTGTCATAAATAGCACAAAAATGTGAGCACATGTGTAAGATGGATTGATAATGTCAGTTTTGAAAGAAGCTATGGATGTAAGCACCAAATAGAATCTGAGAATACAAACACCAGGGACAAGTTACCATGAGCTAACGGGTAACTGTGCACCAGCTGAGCCATTATAATTTTCTGTGTAAGCATTTTTAGAGAGAGAGAGGGGTGAAGCAATTCAATGGAAAAGGGAGCAACTAATTTGCAGCAATTGAAGCTTGTTATCTTGTTGCCACAAGGTAACCAAAATTACCCTTTTGCTTGAGCCTTTTGACATGCAACTGACATTTTACAGTTCTGTGCTAATTTTGCACTAGGAAGCTGGGAAAATCATATTGTCTTGTAATGTAAAGCAATTTTGGAAAATACTAAGGTGTTTTGGAGTTTTGTTGAGTAATGTGGCAAGATCTTAGGTCTGAAATGCTTATAAGAGGTACACATTTATAATGGCAAGGAAGTTGTTATCCATTTATAAAATTATTTTATTTTCCATATTAGTATTGGTGAAATCGGTTGGAACTGGGGAAGAAAACTCTGTGACTAGCCTAACACTATTTGCGTGACTCATAGGTAATTTGCAAATTTAGATGTAATTCATGCGGCAGTTAACAACATTTAATCAGCAATTTTTATTCATTCATGTCATTTTTAAGGCAACTTCAGCCAAGTATGGCAACATAAGAATGTAGCTTCCTCTTTCTGGGTCATTTGCACTTTGTTTTTATCCAGAAGAATTTATGAAGTATGGAGAGGAGTATTTCCAAAGATCCCCAATTTCAAACAAGATTTTAAAGAATTAATATATATCTTTATATGCTTTAATATCCTTGCTGGCAAGAGATTAAAAACAAAAACAAAACCTTCATGAGAACCTTACTTACTTGAGAAGGGGTTGCTGCAGGGAGCTTCATAAGAAAGCAGTCTACTCTGTCTTTTCACTGACAGTCATGTCAAAGGGTTTGTTTTAAAGTCTTCTATTAGACATTTTTATTGTTATATACGTCCACTTATGGTAGCTAATAGAGATGCTTCTTTCTCATGCACTTGCATGGAAAGTCAGTGAAGAGTAAAGTTTTAAGGAGCAGAGCTCCTCTTCCGTTTGTTGGGGGTGGGAAGATGAAAATGAGAAGACCCTAATAACAGAAGTCGTGCGTCTTTTGGATGTCACGCTGATATATTTGCTGGAAGCATCTAAGAGAATTGTATGTGTGTTTCAGAAATCATTGTTTTCATATGTATATTTCTAAGAACTTAAGGGTTTTGTTAACTAATTTAAATTTTCTTTTTAGCATTTCATTTCAAATATAAGTTCTTAAGTTGTTCTGGCTTAGAATGGAAACTTTTTTTCTTAATTCACTGTGTCATGCACAATTTAAATTCTAAAGTAGAGATGGTTTTTCACAATGTATGTACTGCAGTTAGGTAGTTTGAGGGGTCTGAAGACAAACTTTACTTCTTGTTTGCCCCATCATTGTAATGTAATGGTAAAATGCATAGTAACTTGGTCATATAATGATGGGGTTTGATTTTTTTATGTTGGTTTTTTTTAATTATTCTTTAAATTCTTTTTATTCTTTATGGTGTGTTGGGTTTGGTTGTTGGTTTGTTTTTTTGTTTTTTTTTTTCCTTAAAATAAGCTCTTCAAGCCCCAAAATAAAGCAAGCTAAGAATTCTTGGTACTGGAAGGGAACTGCTGTGTGCTCGTATAGAGCTCTTCTGTACTTCATGCCAATTTAAAAGAACTCTCCTTTTCTGGAATGTAAAAATATATGTAGAAATCACAATGCAAAGCAGTCTTACAGCTAAAAAGCAGTGGGTTAACAAATACAACTGTAGATCTGAACTAATATTAGCTGGTGATGAGGGCATACATACCTAGATTTTTTGCCTCACAAGGTATGATACAAGTTTAAACTATTGAGCTAAGCTATGTCTATTTCTACTCCATTCAAAATGTTAACACCACAGTTGCAGATGATGGATTTGCAGTAATCAAAATATTTTGCAACACATTCTGTGATCAAAATAGAAATTTGGTTCAGTGAGGGCTAAACACAGAAGGAACCATAAATAAAACATGATTAAGTACATGGGTTAAATTCATGAATGTCATGTTATCAGTGTGTGCCATTGTGCATAAATATTTGTAGCACAAAAAATTAGTATGTTAATATGCAGCATAAAATAGTCAGCTATGACCTGACCTCCTTCATTTAATTTTGTTTTCCCCAGGCTTTCTGCTCCAGTATAGCATTTTTTTGTGAAAGAAGTAATGTGGAGAGATCAGCTTTCCAGATTCTAGCAAGAAAGGAAAACATATTCTCTATTGCTGTATCTTACAGCTAGATTTTTTTTAAAAAGCCTCACTTGCCCCCTCTTCTTCCCCCCAAAAATTAAAAAAAAACTCCTTCATTTAATTTTGTTTTCCCCGATCAGGTGACTCTGGTCTGAGCATCTCCCTTCGGTGGAAAATCAATTTTCTATAGCTCCAGAAGTATTAAACTCTGCTCTTGAGCTCTGGCCTCTGGCTTTGCTGGGTCTGTAGTGATGGGGAAAGCTAAGAAAATAATTGCCAGCTGCCAGATTGCTTCTTTTCTTATTCAATGCCATGAATTAAAAGTGACTGGTGTCTAGGGCAGACAGAAAAATTTAATTATGGTGCTTAATATGTTACTTGTGGTGTATGCAGAAACAGTAATTTATGAAAGCACATCCTGAGTACCTCTTGTTTGTTTTGACTTGGGGGAAAAATCCTCTTGATTTGAAATTGAAACATATCCTCGGTTCTTTCTGCCAGCTCTACTCACAAAGTACTATAAAGTTGCAGTGACACAGCAGACTGACTTGATCATGTGCTGGAATAGAAAACTAAAGCAAGGACAACTCTGTCTTCTGTTTGCTAGTAAAGGATGGTCTGGGTGACGGTCTTTTCTATGTGATTTCTTAGTGTTGCACACCAGTGGTTGTCATGGCATATGTTAACAGCTGCTGGTTTAGTTTTTTTCCATTAAGTGCTTTGATTATTAGGTTTAGTTCCCCGTCACTGCTGATGTACACTTCTGTAGTAACGCAAATAAAGTAGTCGTGGTCTATTATCTGAAAATCTGTCAGGACGTGAACTTTGGTACCCTGTCTGTAGTAATTTCTTATGCCTCTAGTAAGTATTTTAGGATATTTGTGAATATTTCAAACCTTTTTTCACAACTCTGCTCTAGGATCTTAGTTTTCTTTTATCATCAATGAGATGGTACCATTCTCGATACCATGTACTCAATCTGATAACTTCAAATAGATACGTTATTTTCTTTGCCTACAGATTGTCTTCTGATGTGATTGATGCAGAAATTAGGGATGCATTTTATGCGTACTTGTTTCTTGATAGTCTTAAATTGATGAAGCAAAGTAGAGGGGAATTCTTATTTCTTAATGCATTTTCATAAGTTAAACGAGGCCATGTTACTCAGTGCTGATGGCACGAAGGGATTTTCCTACCTATTTTGAGAGTTACTCTGGTGAGCTGCAGTTTAAATTTGGCAGTTCATTTAAACAGTTGGAAGAAATTGAAACATGGTGACAGTTTAATACATGAATAATCTGCTGTATGAGCCATTATATGTATGTACAAATATAGCTCTGGGTAAAGAGCACAGTGACCAGCAGCTAAATAGGCTGTCTCCAGGGGCCATGGTGGTGATATAAGGAGTAACATCACCAGTAGGTCTGTTCACCTGTCAGGCACGCCAGGACACGCTCAGCCTTTGGGTGGGCCAGTATGATAGTTGTTGCTTTGGCTCCTTGATTTTTGTACGGAGAATGAACCTATCTTGAAATTTGTTCAAGAAATAGGTTAGCAAACAAATAACCTATTGGCAGTACCGTAGAGAGGTGCACAGACTCTGATTTCTGGTCCCCCTACCCCTGTTCACTTTGCTTCTCCTATGCACGGGTTTGTTTCAGGCTGTGCTGACTTCTGAGACTTTTTTTACCCCAAGTAGTGGGGGACAATTATTCTCCTAAATGAAGGCAGCTATACTGACTACACCCAGGCAAGAGTACACAACAATTTTAGGAATTGTAAGCTACCAAGTACACTGCAGAGCTTTACGTGAACTTTCACAGAAAACGTGTCTTCAATTAAACAATATCTTTGTGAGGTTGATGGTCTCTGTGTTTCTTCTGGTTTTGAGCAGGATTACAAAAGCTCCACTTCATGGTGTGTAGTTTGTGGTGTACCACCGAGTCTTTGAATAATCCCATGTGGGATTAGTAAATGGGAAGGAGGTAGTTTTCGAAATGCTGTTTTAGGCCACCTTCACTAGCTGGTTAATTGTTAATGTCGTAAAATATACATGCTTACAGTGTTGTTAATGCATGTAGATAGCGCATTTCTGGTTTGGTGTTTGATTGGAGATTTTTTGATATAGCTATACAGAATGTTATTGGTTAGTGTTAAACTATGCAAGATGCTAATCCTAAAGCTTTTGTATCTATATCTTGAGAGCAAAAAGTCCCAATTTCAAGAACAGTAAGTTCATAAACAACCCCATTTCTGTTCATGTTCTCACTCTTCCCATGATTCCCCCCCAGTGCGGCTTCTGTTTCTACAGAGCATTCCTGTTGGCTTCAGCAGCGTAATGTTTGCAGCTCCTCAGGAGCAGGAGGCTGACGCTCCCAGATTTGTAGACCAAATAGGTGCCTCTCTGAAGCTTCGCACTGCAGAAGGGATGGTCCTGAAACATTTACAGCTGGTCAGGAAAAGAGCCCATTAAATATTCTTTCTAGTAATGTAATTAAACTTAGACATTGTATAAAACAAAGAGGTGGGGGGATACAGTTTATTTTACTAAATGTGAGGTTTTTAAATGTACCAGAAAGTCGTAACAGTTTGGTTCTGATTTCACAAAGTAGTCCACTGATTTTTTTTATTTTCATGTGAAGAAAATATGCAGAAACTTAAGATGCAGTTAATTTTTTTTTTCTGCTGACTCAGACATCAGCTGAATACTTCTCACCTTGATTTCTGCAAGGAACACTCAAGAATGTTAAAAAAACTGGTCCTTTAGCAGTTGTTTCATAAAGCAGCGTAAGTCTAGCGTTGTTTCATTAACAGGCTAATGACTTTACAGTCTGTGCTTTAAGGATTTTGTTTCATGTCCAAAATATTTTCAGATTTTGTCATAAAAGATTTAATTTCAGTTTTCCAACAGGATTTATGTTATTAATTTTACACCATTTAAACTGAATTTATTAACTACTTAAGAAAAGAAATAGGAGCAGTCTTTTTTCTGAAAAATAAAAATTGGAAGAGGACGGACTGCACTACTTGTAGATTTTCTAATATGAATGAATGAAATGGGTAGATGGTGTTCAGAATAAGGAAATATAATCAGTTACATTTCATTTCTCCTTACACGATGACACTTTTGAGGGGGGAATAGACAAGTATTTCCTTTTTCTTCTGTAAACAGAATTATGTCATCTTTTTTTTTTTTTTTTTCTTTAGTGTTCTGGGTGATTTGAAGTAGTCACATTCACTCAGAAAATATTAAGAGCAGCAGTCCAGTTCTTTAGAGAAAGATTGTGCTTTTCTCATTCTAAGTTTTGGGTTGGTTTTTTTTGTTGTTGTTTTGTTTTGTTTGTTTGGTGTTGGTTGGGTTTTTTTAGCAGTTTCAACTTGAGTAAGCAGACTACTCAAGTCAGCTCTCATTTTTACGCTCATAGCCATAGTGAGGAAGAACATACGCTTGTATCAGTACATCTTCAATAAAACAGCGACCTCCAAAGCGCTCCCACAGCCCTGAGGCACGTCCTTCTTGTGGCCCTGCAACTCCTCTTCTGGGGTTGCAGCAGCAGCTGCAGCAGTTGGCCAGGCTCTGGCATACCTTCCTTCATTTGGCGTCCTTCTTGTTCCACCCCTGCTATGGGTTTTTTTTGGAGCAACGGTTAAGTTTTTCTCTCCGGGCTTGGAAGTTCTCAAATCCTTACTGTGTAGAAAATTTGGTGTATGAATACCTGGAGGCATCACATCCCAGAAAGCAGTTTGCATATAAGAGAAATATGCTGTGCTGGTATTCAGTGGTTTTACAAGGCATTTTAAAAAAGTTGTTTCTCTTCTTTCCGAACCAACAGGTTCGCCATAAAATGACGCAGAAGGTTTACGCAATGAAGCTATTAAGTAAATTTGAAATGATCAAGAGATCAGATTCAGCCTTTTTCTGGGAAGAAAGAGATATCATGGCCTTCGCCAACAGTCCGTGGGTCGTTCAGGTAAGGAAGATATGTAAGAGTAAAATAATAACAATAATAAATAAATCTTTCCCAGTCTTGAGATGGTTTTGAATTTATATGTAAACTGAAATAATGGTTTAGGTTCAGATTTTACTTTTTAAAGATACACCTTTACGGCAATTTCACTGAGTTTTGTGTATTTGTCTGTCTTAGAAAGTAGATTAATTTACATTTTGGTCACTCCAAATGCAGCAGAAAATGGAATGAAACAGATTTTTGAAATATCCACATAATTATTAGGAATAATAGGGAGATTATCTTTACAACTAAGAAAATCTCTGTATAGAAATGTAGATGCAAATGTCAACATTATTTCCAGTCTTTCCTCATGATAGTCAGTTGATCACAGGCAATTGGTATTAAGAGTGTTTTAAGTAGTTACCGTCTCTTCAGCTGCAATTTGATAGCTGGATGAGTGCACACTCCTGGTGTGCAAGGCAGGAGGTTGTACCAGTGGTTTGCTTGAAACCATCTCCTGTCTAACGGTCAGTTACTGCATCTCAGCTCAGAAGTAATATGCAAGTAATGGAGAGTTGGTTTCTTCAGCTGGTCTTGAACACCGTTGCTTACAGCTCTCTCATGACATGTATCATCATCATGTTTGCAATACGAGTTATGCCTTTGGGAAGGATTAGTACTGAATATTGCAGTTTGTTCTAACTGGTAAATTACATCAATTAATAAGATGAGTAATGAAAGCATATGCTCAAAGAAACTGCTAGTACTTCATTTTGTTAAATAATTAATACATTTAAATGCTTTGACATATATTGCCGTGCTTCTGTATATTTAATAAGTAGAGACTGGCCTTAAGCTTGCCATATATTCTTCATAACACTTTACCTCATGTATACAAGAAATGTTTTACAAGGGTTTTTTATTCAGATGTTTTGCTCTTCTGAGCATAACGCATTCTGCGTTCTTGCCTACGTTCAGCAGAAATACTTGACCAAATAGATGAATTTTTTAGGTGTTTTTTTTTGTTCGTTTTAATGATAGTCGTTGTCTGGAATTATTTTTATTTTTCACATACAGTTGAAAGTAACAAGAAAAGTATGACACTCAATTTTCAGAGGAAAGTTTAGTAAGCATGATATAAGTGTGTGTGTACTTGTAAACAGCAAGTGAATTAAAGTGTAGTTGCGATTGTGCCTTCTATGATGAACTGTATTAGTGTGATATATTTAGGTAATGTGGTTTGGTGGAATAGGTCTTTGAGCTGGATTTAAAAAATGTAGGTTCTGAGCTAGAAACTGGGACAGATCACGCTGATTCTCTGTGTCTTCTTTCTTACGTGAAAAACAAGTGAGACCAGAGCCATAGATAGTTCTGGTGGTTTTTTTATGGTGTGGGGGCTTTTTTTGTGGGGAGGAGTGTTGTGGTTTTGGGTTTTTTTTTTTTTAATGAAATCCCTTAAAGGCAATAACGAAAGTGCTGTATAAAGGCATAATGTTGTTAGTTATTATTGTGTTATATTAATATCTTTACATGTGAGAATACTGAGAGTATTTTGGATTTTAATTTGAATTTTCATGACCAAATGCGTTATCATATTAGGTATTGTATATACTCTCAATTTGTGAGAACAAATACAGTACAATGTATATGTATTAAAATGTGTATTTATAATATAGGTCTTCTGTCACTAATATACAATAAATTTTAATCTGAAGATAAAGTTTTCTTCATAATGTTCCTGCCTTTCATGGTTCCTTATCCTCCACAAACTCCCCGTTTTTGATTTCCTCCTTTCCACACAACCTCTTGTTCAATTGCCTTTGAATTTTGTGTGGGTAACTTTAAAGATGTGAATGATCTTAGTTTTTAATGTAAAGGAGCAGTATTCCCTGAGAAATAAGGTGAGAAACTTCTTCACACCAGTCATTGAACATTTGATGGTAATGTGTTTTGCTAGTTTGGGCCGTTCTTAGACCTGGTGATTGCTGGGTGCAATCTCTAAAGCTTCAGCACGCTAGGTCTGAAATACATTTTAAAGAGACTAAACTTACTTTCAGTATCGTGCCAGTAGGAAGCATACTAGTAGCAACCTATACCAGACTGTTTTTATATAGTTAAGGATAATTTCTTTGTATTGTGTTATAGTTGTTTTCAGGACAAAATCAGTAGTGACAAGTGTTTTTGTAAACATGTATATAGATAAGGAGATTTATAATATATGAAATTTAGAAACAGTCTCAGATGCTATTTGCTGTTGAGCTATTTTAAAATCAATACATGATGCTTTCTTTCTCAGATTTGATATTTTGCATTTTGACACAGTGATACCTTTTAATGCAAAGAAACGTGGATATATAAAAGCTCATACTGCTAAAATAATCAGAAAATCTTTTTCGCTTTCTTAAAAATGAAAGTGAGGGGGTTTTGAAGTTCAGTAAATTTGAACATGAACATAATAGAAAATGTAGATTATCTGAATATAAAAAATAAAGTCTGTTTAGATCAATCTTGAAAACATATGCTTGTGTTTAATAAAACTTCAAGATAACGTGCTTTATTCTTTTTCCTAGCTGTCTCTAAAAAGTAATTGCACTTTTTTCTTTTTATTTTAATGTTGCAGCTATTTTGTGCCTTTCAAGATGACAAATACTTGTACATGGTAATGGAATACATGCCAGGTGGAGACCTTGTAAACCTTATGAGCAATTATGATGTGCCTGAGAAATGGGCCAAGTTCTATACAGCCGAAGTTGTTCTTGCTCTTGATGCAATTCACTCCATGGGCTTGATACACAGAGATGTGAAGCCTGACAATATGCTTTTAGATAAATATGGGCATCTGAAGCTGGCAGATTTTGGCACGTGCATGAAAATGGATGAAGTAAGTATGCAACTGAATAATTTATTGTCTATAAAACTGTAATTCTGAGGTTGTTTTTTTATAAATTATAATACCTAAAGGAATATTCACCAAATGGTCCACTTAGTTGGAAAGCTGTTCCTTGTCTCCTAGTTTTAAATACAAGGGTACTTTAAATAGTGTAACCTTGTCTATAATAAACTGTTCTGGCATACAGAAGAAGGATGTAAACTTACTTTTTGTTATTTTTGAAAGCATGTGTGTTTATGAATTTCTGAGGTTCATTTTTTTGCCAAGTGTCTGAAAAGCTTATGAGACAACTAGTTGCAACATTAGTAACCTTGGAACAAAAAAACTGACATTTTTCTGTAAATGAAATTATTTTATAGGCAACATACAGTCATCCTCCCCCCCCTTTTTTTTTTTTACTGTGTCTAATTGTTCTCATAGCATCCTCTAGTGGTCATTAAAATGAGGTCACAGTAAGGCAGCAGTGGTATGTGATATATTGATTAAAATTTGTTAGCTATTTGTCAATTTGTCATGCGTTTTAGTTGTCCAGATTTTACCATGTACAGCCAAATGCACAGTTTTCTAATGAGATGGTATAAGAATATTTTATTTTTAACAGGATGTAATACTTTATGTTATTAAAGGACACTTAAAAATAAAGCTGCCTTTTGTAGTTGCGCTTTTAAAATCTTCCCTGACAAACAATGTTATGCGGTAATTTACACAATATATTCTTCCTGTGAAAAATTATAAAAGATTCTAAAAAAAAACCAACTGTGTATGAATGTGTGTTACGATTTGCCTGGCCTTTGAAAGGTTCCTGTATTAATGTTGGCAAGGATGATCCTTTTAAGCTTATTTGCATTAATGTGTTAGATTTTTTTTCTGTATTGTTTAGGTAGTGCTTGGTATAATCTCCACAATCTACTTAATTTGCATATGTAGCATTAAGTTAATGTCTCTTCAGCTGTATCTAGAAGTACTGTCTCTGGTTAGGGTTGTTTTTTTTTTTTCTTTCCTGTGACAATATATTAACTTCATTGAAAAACTACAGCTGTTTATTGAGGATCATTAGTCTGTTTCGTTTTGCTGATATTGTAGTTACTCTAAAGGCAGATAGATTGTTTACCTCCACTTTGATGATTTACTTGCCTAGATTTACTTATATAGTAATGCCATATATATGGCATTCCTTGCCAGCATTTACTTTAATGGAAAAAATGGAAAGTAGTACGTTAGTCCTTAAAAAAATTAATCTTGGTTTTGAGCCAATAGATTGTAGGTCTTAAGGGTATCTGATGTTCATCACAAGAGACAATAAAAAAGCATCAAAAAGTTCATAATATAAATCTACAAAAAAAGGGTGATCCCTTATGCTATTTTAGGGATCCCAGAAATGGTGAACCTAAGCCTTTTCTTCCTTTTTTCTTTTTCGTTGTTGTTAAAAAAATGGAATACTAAAACGTGGTTCGATCATGTTATAAATGTGAGAAGTACATGCACATTTCCCATAAAAAGTTGTAGTGGGCTCCAGTTTGGACCAGGCGTCAGGAATGAACCAGTGATCTCCTAAAGAAGTTAATTTATTAACAGATTACATTTTAAGTTCTTCATGTTTCTCAGACTCAGTGGAATGGCAAAAATTTTTTATACAGGAAGCTTTAGAAGTTGAGAGGTTCTGGATTGTCTCCAAATCTCATGCTACTTCTTACAAAACATGAACACATCCCAGCTGTGTAAATATAATATTGATGTTGGCAGGATGATTTCTAGAAAATATACGCTTACCCAATACTTATTTATTTTTTCTGATTTGGAGTTCTTTCAGCAGTTGTGCACATTAGCATTTTCCTTATGCTGTTGAGAGCCCAGGAAAATTCTGCTGCAATTTGGTGAGAGACTTTTTGACCTTTGCTGTGGAACTGAATTTAGTGTCCTCTTAAGCCTTCCAGGCCAGTCCAGCCACTTGAAGCAGAATTCCTCCTTACCAGGATGTGAGAAGAATTGTTAAGTGTTTCAGTGATCTTTTCTGAGATGAAAGGAGCTGGCCTGTTTATGTAACTCTGTTGCGATGGTTTGGGGCTTTGTGTTTTGTTGGATTTTTTTATTTTTATTTTTTGCTTATTTTAAAATCTGCAGCAAGGTATTTCTGTAACTGAATAAAGAATAGAGTTGCTCTCAAAGGCTTAGTAGGAATTATAGTTCCATTCTGGTATTTAGGTATGGTAAGGTAGCCCAGGGGAGGTTTCACCAGACTCTGATCTTCAGATTTTCTGTAAGAAAATAGACAGTAGCATGGCTGGCTTTGATAGGTTTTGTAGAGCCAGGAACTGCTCATGCATGTACTCAGTACATAATGCTGTCTTGTGCTAACTGAGCTTTTAGAAGAGCACAGGGTTTAGATGGTATCTGTTGAAAAGAGATGTGACCCAAAGAAGGGATGTTTACCATTTGGGATTATCACCTCAGCCCAGGCAGTTTAGCTGAAAGAAGGAACATGTTCCTCTCTTTAGAACTGAACTTCTTTCTTATTGAAGCTCATCCAAGACTCTGCTGGATACTTCTTGCTTCAGTTCATTGTCTGTGGCACGCTGCACAAGCCCAGGTGCAGTGTTAACACCTGATCTGAACTACCCTAGTGTTTCCACACAAACACTCTCCAGCTCTTGATTACTGACAAGAATTTCATGAGGGAGTGAAAGCCTGATTTGATGGATGAGGAATTGGTTGGATGGTCACATCCAGTGGGCCATGGTCAGCAGTTCAGTATCCAGATAGAGATCGGTGACCAGTGGTGTCCGTCAGGGGTCCATCTTGGGACCAGTACTGTTTAATATCTTCATCAATGACGTAGACAGTGGGATCGAGTGTACCCTCAGCAAGTTTGCAGATGACACCAAGCTGATTGGTGTGGTTGACACACCTGAGGGACAGGATACCATCCAGAGGGACCTGCACAAGCTCGAGAAGTAGGCCTCTGTGAACCTCATGAGGTTCAACAAAGCCAAGGGCAGGGTCCTGCACCTGAGCTGGGGCAACCCCCAGTACCAATACAGGCTGGGGGATAAAGGGATTGAGAGCAGCCCTGCTGAGAAGGACTTGAGGGTACTGCTGGATGAAAAGCTGGATATGAGCCGGCAATGTGCACTCACAGCCCAGAAAGCCAACTGTATCCTGGGCTGCATCAAAAGAAGTGTGGTCAGCAGGTCAAGGGAGGTGATTGTGCCCCTCCACTCCACTCTGGTGAGACCCCACTTGAAGTCCTACATCCAGCTCTGGAGCCCTCAGCACAGGAAAGACCTGTTGGAGCAGGTCGAGAGGAGTGCCACAAAAATGATCAGAGCACTGGAGCGCCTTTCCTGTGAGGACAGGCTGTGAGAGAGTTGGGGTTGTTCAGCCTGGAGAAGACAAGGCTTCAGGGAGACCTTATTGTGGCCTTTCAATACTTTAAGGGGCCTTATGAGAAAGATGGGGACAAACTTTTTAGCAGGGTCTGTAGTGATAGGACAAGGGGTAATGGTTTTAAACTAAAAGAGGGAAGATTTACATAAGATATGAAGAACAAATTTTTTACAATGAGGGTGGTGAGACAATGGAACAGGTTGCCCAGAAAAGTTGTGGATCCCCCATCCCTGGAAGCATTCCAGGTCAGGTTGGACAGGACTCTGAGCAACCTGATCTAGTTGAAGATGTCCCTCCTTGTTGCAGAGGGGTTGGACTAGATGACCTTTAAAGGTCCCTTGCAACCCAAACTGTTCTATGATTCTCAGTCTTGGTCCAAGACAGCAAGTCATTCAGGTCTGATGGAGATCCTCCTGAGGATGAAAACTGAACTGCTTTGTCTTCAGCAAAGTAGTAATTCTGAATAATGCTAGGAAACACTACAGCCTGACCGCCAAGTTGTCCTAAGCTGCAAGAACATGCTATGTGTCTCGGGCAGCCTTTTTTTATAATTCTGCACTGCACATCTCTCACATAGTTGTAGGACCCTCCCTTGAGGCAGAGTTCCAAGATCCATGTTGACCTTTTTAGGTGATGAGAAGAGTCTCAGGTAAAACACTGGCCTGAGACTCCCAGAAGGAAGCTTTGTATGAGAACTGCTATAGTAAGTGTGCTATTCAAGCATAAAACAGAGGCTTCATATTTGAAACACAGGAGTAACACTTTGTCCAGAGAAAACCAGCACCCTTTAGATCTCTTCAAATGCTGAAGTACAGAGGCAGAAATCATCGTGCAGAATGGAGGGACTGTCAAGATGCCATATACTGCACAGAGAGGACTTAACTTCTCTGTTTACTTGGCTTTGATGGCAGAGATCATAGAAGCTAGCCCGACTCTGGTATTAGGAGTATCCAGTACTTAAAAATATATACAGAGGAACGCCCAAATTCTTTGAAAGAACTAGTGTGTGAATGAGAGGAACAGAAATCTGGGGATATTATATTCAACTGATAATGGACCAACCTCCCCAGGGATGTGGTAGTAATTCCCATCGCTGGAGGTTTTCAAGATGTGATTGCACAGGGTGCTAGATAATCTCATCTAGGCTCCCTTTACCGCAACAGGTTGGGCCATATGGTCTTTCAAGGTCCCTTCCAACATGAGGTGTTCTGTGGTTATGTGAATGCATTTTTAGATTTGTTCCTGAGACAGAAGGTAGAGAGTTTTATGGGGAGTAAGTACAACTAAATCCGTGTGCTTCAGAGAGAGACAGTCCATTGAAAACTGATGTTAGCACACAGTGCCCTTTTAACTGTAGAAGTATTTTTTTGTTTGTTTGTTTTACTGTTCAGTTCTTTGACATCTTGTCTGAAAACATCAGGCTTTGTTGGAAAGCAGCTTTCTTGTTGCTACGTACCAGCCATCAGACTTGGGTAGGGCTGGGGTTTTTGGCACAACCTTTGCTTTGTTTGCATAAGACTTCATAAAATATCAACGTGTATAACATATTAAAGTTGTTCTTGTTTTGCTGTATTAATTATAGAGGAATGGGAAATGGGGTGTTATTAAGTGTGCTTAAGTGTCGAGGTGATGAGGTTGTGACTGATGCTGTGATCTTCAGAGAAATCTTTCAGAACTGTGTCGGTGACTGCATTTTTAAAGCAGCTTCTTACCCAGGGAGGGATTCAGGTGGCTTCAGCCAGTCTTCACTGAGTGAAGACTCAGACGTTTCCCTTGTTGTAATGGTGCATTTGTGTAAGGAAAGATAGACATGCCGCAGTGTTGGAGGCCTCATTAGGAGGCCACAGTCCTACTAGGTCAACGGAATGACATGAGCCTATAGCAATTCCTCCAGTGCTCAAAGCAAAGAGAGGCTTAAGCTTCAAAGACAACCTGTAGGTTTGTGCAGAGAGTGCTGTTACAAGCAGGATTTTCAAATAGTGGTTCCTGCCATGTGCCAGATCCATTTTTGAATGTTCTCAGCTTTAGATTTCTGGAGCCTTTGGGCTTTCATTTACTTCCCAGTGTTAAAATGTGTTCATCTGTATTCTATGTCCAACGAACGCATTAGGTCTTCTGAAAAGAGTTAACTTTTAGTTAAATTTTCTTATTCCAGGATGGTCAAGCTATGTGCTGTCTCGTTCATAGTACAGAAATCAGAAGTTAACCTGCTCTTCATTCTGGAACTGAGAAGTTAAAACTTCCTTCAGGTTTCAGCTTCAGCAGAGAGTTGTGGAAGATGATAGACGTTTGACAGGAGGGCATTTGAATTACTCTTTAGGTCTTTACAGTGTTTAGTCATCACTTTAGTTTTTGCCTGCCAGTTTGTGACTTTCCAGGATCCTGGTTTAGTACATAAATAAAAGCTTTTGGCAGTTCATATGGTGTGTTTGAAAAGAAATACTGTAATTTGTTGTCTTAATTTTTACACGTCAATGCAGTTCCGAAAGCAAAATGTTTCTCTTTCTTTCTTTAAATATGTATTTTGACTTAAGTTGTTGCTACTAAATTCTGTATTCATACTCAGAATTAATATGTATTGCCATTCATGCTGATGGCATGAAGAACTTTGTAGGATGACTTAGAAAAGATTTCGGGTTGAGAGACAGGATAAAAGATGAGTGTGGTTTTGGTACTTCTCTGACTTCATCCAGGATTTCATTTCATTCATCTGTCTGGTCTCTCTTGGATGAATGCAGTGAATTTGATTAAAGGAAACAAGGCTTGTAAGTCTGAAGCAGCATGCTGGCAGATCTGACGATGCTTCTGCGTCATTTAGCCCCTGCATTTTTAGTCTCTCAATGTGAAGTGAAGAGGATGAAGAATCATTCCATTAATACAGCTGTGTTAATATGTTCATAAAAATCGCCTTCTAAAGAAAAAAGCTTTGCTATTCTTTAAAAATAACTTTGCCTTTTTTTTCCCCCTATCATTAAATAAAAAACAAGGTAGGACTATAAAAAATGGGTTTATTGTCCGAATTAGACAAAACAGTTATGTTATCTACTATGTAGGGCCTAGAACTCATAGCTTGTCAAAATTATTCTGAAGTTTGTTCTTGAATTCAGTGAGATAAGGAGCAGTCTGATATGGTGTGTAGCTTTGTATTGAAGCCAATGGCAAAAATAATAAAATTGGTCAAGTTCTGAAAGATGTGATCAAGAAAAACCGCTATGGAGTAGGCAGGGGGGAGCACGTTACTAGAAATTGTCATTTCTGGAGTGAAAAAGAGACTCTTTCAAACACATTCTTCAAGCCAAATATTTTGGTCTATTTGTTATGTTTTTCTGGTCTACTCAGAGACGAATTGTTTAAAGCCTCAGAAGTACTTTTAATTGAGCTGTTGCAATTCTTACTGTTGCACAGACAGGTATGGTGCGCTGCGATACAGCTGTGGGAACCCCTGACTACATATCGCCCGAAGTTTTGAAATCACAAGGGGGTGATGGTTATTATGGACGGGAATGTGACTGGTGGTCTGTAGGCGTTTTCCTCTTCGAGATGCTAGTTGGTAAGTAGTGATTTTTTCCACTAATGACATTATTGTTTAGTCTTTACTGTGCCTTTAGCAGCACTTTGCTGCAAGGGGGCTGGTTGTACCTCGCTATCTAATGGCTTCTGACTTTTGGCTGATGCTGTTGCTTCATTCCTGTTCTCTTTGCTCTCTGTCACTGTTATGCTGTGACAGCTGTTTGCGTGCTTGCTCAGTGATTAGTTCCCTCGGCTCAGCTTAAAAGTAATTCTTAGAATAGTTTTGACTGGGGTCAGCTACCTCACCACCTCATGAGCATTTGTGCCACCTCAGGGGCAGTACTGAGTTTTCAGGGATGCAGACATAAAAGGAGTGGGAAGGGCAGGACTTCCCCCTTTTTTTTCTCTCTCCTTCTTTGTGTTTTTGTTGTGGGGGTTTTTTCCTTCCTTTTTTCCGTGTGTTTCCACTCCCCCACCCTACAATCCCCTCCCATTTTTTTCCTCCAGGGTTAGCAAAGGCTTCTGTTAAGTCAAAATGACTGTAGAAGCACAGATTGATTCTTTATTCTATGCTTGAGTCAGGGTTTTCTGGTAAAATATACTGGACTGCTATGGCAACGAACATAGAATATAATCTTTTAAGGCGATGAGTCATCTGCATCTTAAAATACAGTAAGGATCAGTATTATAGTCTGGTAGCAAAATAGATTATAGGAGGACGGAATTGAGCATATAATTATTAAAAATCCAAATCAGCATGTTCTGGGAATATTGCAGATTTGATATTTCTGGTATTCTGAGCCAGGAAAGGCATTTGGATACATAATGGTATTGTAATCTCTGCATCTTTCAAAATTAAAGCATTTTGACTTACAAAACCTGTGTTTTATAATTAATTATCTCTCATAAACAATTTTAGCAATAAATAAAATTCTTTAGTTACTAAAATATTGGACATGGCTGACCAGAATGTTTTCTCAGAGCCTCTTTTTTTTCCTTTCCGTTGTATCTGAGAGGGCAGATTCTCCCCTTTTTAACTTTCTAATGAAAACATTTTTTTAAAGTGAAATCTTACTTAGTTTCTCCATATCCCACACATGGGTAGAAAGTTTCTATTTTTGTTTGTATTTACATATTAGATTCTGCCTGTGGGCTTCTAAACCTTTACGCTTTAAAGAAAGCACAGAAAGAGTTATGTTCTGGTTTTAGTGAAGACCCAGTACTGATGAGAGCAGTGCTACTTTTTATTGTGTGCTTAACTAAACACTAAAATATTGGTCACAGGATGAATTCTAACATTAGTTCCGTGACCTGGGATACGTTTGAGGTGTGGCCTAAATCAAAGCGGTTTCTGAGACTGATGACAATTGAGAAGGGGTAAGCTTGGAAAGAGGGAGGCAGCGGCAGCTATCAGTGATCCCCCATCCAATGTACTGGTGTGGCAAGCTAATGAATTTACTAAAAGTCTAGAAGTTTAATTCAAGCTGGTGTGCACTAATTCCTTATTTTCCCGTAAAATGACAGAAGGAGGCTAAAGGTAGGATTGTTGCATTTATATAATTTTTGAAAGATGGGTGGGTTTTGTCCATTGGTCTGTAGATACATATTTTCACGTACCTAGCCTTTGAATTTTTCAGTACCTTGTTGGAAGCATGCAGTCAGCCTGCTGACTGCCCCGCCGGGTGATCCCTGCCCGCATGCAGCACACCAGGACGGAGAAAAGAGCCTAGCTCATGTGATTTGATTGTTTACCTTCTCTATTAAACCTACAGATTAGCTATGAGAAAGGATTTATACGAAAGTTGCAGCCTCTTGATTACTGACCCAAACCAGTTGTATATTCAGAACGTTGTCAGTTAACTTGGATGTCAGCTACCTGTATCAGTACTGATTCTTTTCAGTTGTCCTCATTTTACCTTTCTTAAGGATATTTGTAAAGAAACTAGGCTTAGGTAAAGTCCAGGCTGCAAACCTTTAGGTTACAAAGGTTTAGGATTTTAAAATCCACTTGCATGTGTTAATATGGGGACCCAAGCTGATGGAATTCATCAGTCAACAAGATGTATTTGTATGCGTTTAACAGTGCAGTAACAGAGTGTGAAGGCTCCTGCTCAGAGCTGGCTTGCCTTAGGCAGCTCCAGGGGTAGGCAGGGTAGACCTGCGTTCCTCTGAAACGGTCTTTTGAGAGCTTTGGTGGAATTTTTCCAACAACTGTGCATTAGCAAATCTTTAATGAGTTTCAGTCCATTGTACTCATGGAAGTGCTTAAAGATGGGGATTTATGTGGGTGTCAGCCATCATGTAAATTAGAAAACACAGTGATAGTCTTCAGGTAGGACAAAAGATGTAATTCACTGGGCGAAATTTTGGCAGTGATATGCAGGATGGGAAATGGTTTAGGCATTTAGGGAACGAGTATTTTTAGCAGCATACATGATTTTGTGTCCTGCATTCCAATTTTACTATTTTTTTTTTATATAGGAGACTATTTTAGGTAAAACTGCTTGTAGGCTTTTCTTTATATCGTTTGACTTTTTTAACTTAAATGACTTGAACATGACTGAAAATCACAGTCAAATTACTATTTTATTTTCAGGCGATACTCCTTTTTATGCAGACTCATTAGTAGGAACATACAGTAAAATTATGGATCATAAGAACTCATTACATTTCCCGGATGATGTGGAAATCTCTAAGCATGCAAAGAACCTTATCTGTGCCTTTTTAACTGATAGGTAAGTGCATGTATCATTCTGGTACTGTTTATATTTTGGGTGGTATTAGCACATGTACATTGTAAAAAAAAAAAAAAAAAAAAAAAAAAAAATCCTTCCATTACTTCTCCTAATCTCCGTTCAAATCTCTTGAGCAAAATCTCCTGCTCTCTAGTTTTTCTTTTGGGGTGGTTTTTCCAGGTATTGTATGTTATTTCTATGAGTAGTTCTGACAGCTCTTGTTAACAACGCAGTTTGTGCCAGATAAATCTGTCCAATTGCAGCATATAATACAGTAACAAACTTGTAAGATTGAAAGTAATTTGTAAGCTCCAAGGCAGGGACCAAAGTGTTGTGCTCAGTGTCTAAGCAGGTCTTAAAAAACATGAAACCAGATACTTTTATGAAAATAAGCCTGGATTTACTGAGTTTGTATAAGCTTTCTTAGAATGTTTGAACTTTTTTTCATTTGCTCTGTTATATTAATTTACAAGTGTAGCTAATAAACCAGCAAGGATATTGTTTTGGCTATAAATAGATCCTAGAGGTCTCCCTTTGTGGAACTGAGCAGTTTATTGATATTAAGCTGTGTAAGCTTTTTTTTGACCTCAACGCTTACATTTCCTTTAGTTCCAGAAAGAAGAGATCATCTTCAGTTTCTCTGATTTAAAAGAAGAACGTTGTAGGTTCACAGTTAACTCTGGATCGATGATGCTGTCCTGTGGTCTCCTGAACTTAGCTACAGCAGAAAATCTAGCCTCTATAGAATGAGGGATTATGAAGAAAAAAAAAAAAAGAGCCTTATAATGGTTTTTGCATTCAAAGAGAGATTGTTTGCTCTGTTAAGCAAGATCATGATTACTCAGGAAGGATGTGCTTTGACAGAGTTTTTCACCCTTACTAGCTGAAGGGTAGAAAGAAAACATGAGTAGAATTTAATAATGTAAATGCAGCGAGGTGTACTTCCCCTACGTGTGTCCGTCTTCCTGTTTATATTTAATACCGTGCTCGCGCAATTTATTTGAAACAGATGCCTTCTTTCCGTATGCGTGATCACTGCTGAAGCACTTAAAGAAGAAATAAGCACTGACCCTATGATTTATTAGTTCTTCTGTTGGGTTTTTTTTGTCCTGTTCTTGTAGATAGCTTTAAGAGAGACTCTTCTGGCCAAACTAAAGGTTTCTTATTGCATTTAAGATTTACTTCACTGCAAATATCAGCAAAAGATGTGTCAGGGTTAGTTATGGGGCAGAGGATGGAATTCTTAAAATACTTATTTCAGTCCAACTCTGAATAACTGTTCTGTGCAGCAAGTTAGACCTTCCTTCACTTGCGTCTTAAGGTTTGTCATGTGGTTTGGCAGGCACAGAACTTCTGCAGTTTTTTTTCCCCCGAGGGTGTTGGGTTTTTGTTTGTGTTTTTACTTTTTTCTTAGTTTTTGCCTCAGTGCTCTCTTTCTTGCTTTACTCCCCACGTGGCAGATTCCAAATTCTGGATGTTTTAGCAGTCTCAGGGAGAGTGCATGCTAAGAAACAGAGTACATTTTATATAAGAAACTACAGATCAGTGGTTGGTGGTTTTTAATTTTTTTTATTTGACCATTAATGTGGTCAAATAAAAAGTCGTTTTTTACTGAAAGTTTCTTTGCTGCTTGTGAGCAAGTTAGAATTTAAATAACAAAAAACAAGTGCTATTTTTCCTAATGTGAATTTGGTTGAATTGCTGTGTTTAGGGATGTGCGACTTGGGAGAAATGGGGTAGAAGAAATAAAGCATCACCCTTTCTTCAAGAGTGATCAGTGGAACTGGGACAACATTCGAGAGAGTAAGTAAATTAGCTTAAAAGTTCTATTTTATTCAGTGTTTGCAATAGTAGAAATGAAAAAAACGTTAGGCTAGGTACTATTGTATAAAGATAAATGAATACAGATTTTTCTCTAATTCTTTTGGCATCTAGAATTAAGTATTTTCTGTTTATCAAGTATCTTGCTCAAACTTCTATATTTATAATTTATATTATAAAGACTCTATCAGTAAGGGTTAAGAAATACCCATTTTTTCTACTGGAATTATGCTCACCTTTACCATTATTTTAATGTATAAACTTCTGTTTTGAACAACAGAACTGGACATTTCAGAATCTAACTAAAAAGGATGCATGTTAGGTTCTGTTTCTTTATGGGTTTTGTTTTGGTTTGGGTTTTGTTGTTCTTTTAACATTCTGTAGTTAAGACAGTAGTTTGACAATGGTCTTGTCAGTTTTACTGCTTTTCATTTAGGGCAATGTGAACTTTATATCTTTAGGCAAAAAACCCGAAGTATGTCAGTTCAGATCATAAGCTTGATTGTAACTTCTGCAGTCACATATTTACTAAAGTTTTTTAAAATGATGATTGTGTTTAGCGTTCTATTCTCAAATGTGATTACCTCAGCAAATACATTTTGCGCATTAGGTATTCTATGCATTAGGCAACTAATATAAAAATAGATTTCTCTAGAAAAAAGTGTTCATAGTAATATTTACAGGTCTGCTGCATGGTTTATACATATTTAACTAGCAGGACAACTTATATTACAGTCTTTTTAACATTATAGAGATACCAATATAGAGCAAGTGGCTGAATCTTGGAGTGAAGTTGATCTTTTCTCCCCTTTTTATAGCTGCTGCTCCTGTTGTTCCTGAGCTTAGCAGTGATATAGACAGCAGTAATTTTGATGACATTGAGGACGACAAGGGAGACGTGGAAACCTTTCCAATCCCCAAAGCCTTCGTGGGAAACCAGCTGCCTTTTATAGGATTTACCTACTATAGAGACAATTTGTATGTGATAATTTAATATGCATTTTTAGAAACACACCTGCAGATTTTTCTTATATCCTATCCTTTTTTTCACTCTAGATACATAATTTATTCATTGCATTATATTAATTTATGTCCAGTTGTGAAGATGCAAAATGCAGAGTTTAAGTAGAATATATAATTTGCTTCTATTTTGGTTATTTTGATAACTCTGATTAAACACAATATTTTTATATGCACAAAATTACGTAGTCTCTTAAAAAGTCTTTTAGGGTAAAAATACTGATAGATTTGTAGTTTAGCTCTAAAATGGCTTTTTATTAGTTGCTTTAGAAAAAAAGTTTGCACAAGATAATAGCTTGCTAGGATTCAAATGGTTAAGAAATAATTTTATTAATTAAAAAATTATAAACTGCTGTGGATTTGAAAACATATGTTATAATTAAGAAAAGATTCAAGTCAGAAAGATTCACTCACACGGAAATAAAACAAGCTTCATTCTGAGAAGAGCATAGGACAAATTAAGACTTGAGAGAATTGATTAAAATGAGTTGATTGGCAAGGTTGCCAGAGTTGCCGAAAACCTGAATAAGAGCTGGAGGGATTTGTTTTTGTTTTTGACAGGTTGCTAAGTGACTCCTCTCAGTCTTGCAGAGAAAATGAATCTGTGCAATCTAGTAAAAATGAGGTTAGTGCCTTTTTTCGTAAGTATTAATGTTATGATTTACCAGTTTTTTTAAGTTTGTTAAGAAAAGACAAAGTCTGAAATTTTGGGGGGGGCTTTTTGTCTTTTGATGATCCTCAATAAAAATGATATTTTCTGTTTACAGGACAGCAAAGAGGTAAGTATATTACTTGAATTATGAAAGGAATCAAAGAATTCCTACATAATTTATGTGAATGTGAAATATCTTAAATGTTTATTCACCAAATTGTTAACAGTAATCCAGCTGTATTTTGAAACCATTGTTCTCAAGCATTAAGGTACTATTGTATAAAGATGAATGAATACAGATTTTTCGCGAATTCTTTTGGCATCTAGAATTTGTTTGGAAAACAAATGTGTAAGGCTCTGTTTGCCACAAACACCATCACTCTTGGGAAGGTTGTGAATTTTGGTTCCACACTTGCCTGAGTGATTCATGACTGATTTATGCAGAGTTTGGAAAACTAAATTGTCACCTGCAGTGATAAAGGAATGTTAAAAGGTGCTCACAGTTGAAGTGAGTGTATGGAGCATGTTTATCCAGCTTTTAAATTTGCAGATGACAGGAGAATGCTATGAAATCTTCACGTACGTATTTCATTATGTTACTTAAACATTCGTATTATTCAAGTGTAGATAGTATAATTGTTAGCATTTCTTAAAGCTTACAACTCCTTTTCAAAGTTTAAAAAAGTAAGTAAAGGAAATGCGTTATGTATTGACCAGCACAGATTTAAAAGCAAATTTTTATTAGACTCCACTTCATTCCTTACTGTCGTTGCTGAATAGATGAATAGTTTTAGACATTGCTGAGTAGATAATTAGTTTTAGAGTTTCCCTTTTAAAAAGAAATTATACTGCTATTTAAAAAACAAATATCATTAATGTGAAACTGTGTATTATGTTGTGATAGTAAACGTAGTTGGTAAAATTTTGCATTTCACTTGTGACAATTTTTTTAATTTGTATTTTCTCAAGCAACAAGTCTCCAGTTTTGATGTCCTTTTCAGTGTCCCCATTCTGGGAATCTTCTAATTGTAACAATTATAAAGTGGTTTAGAAAACCACATTTTTACATTTTATGCTTGGGGGTAGAGGAGGAGGGGAAAGGGAGGAAAATAAATCCATTTGAAAGCCTGGAGACGTAATACTAATCCAGAATTTATTATTTATAATTTATTTCATGAATATTTGGGTACTTGACTCACAATTTCTTTTTAATATTTTAGTAAGCAAAACAAAGCATTCCCAAACCTGAAGAGTGTTGGGTAGCCTCTATATGTGTTAGAATAAGCATTTGTTCTTCATGTGAGGTCATTGAGCATGCTTAGTAATACTCTGAATATTGGCCAAGTTGGTCATGTGCCGTCCTTTTTATTTTTTAATTTTATTTAGAAAAAACTATCCCAGAAATTCTGCTGCAGTGGAAAGTCTCTACAGAGAAAGAGTACAGCAAAGGGTCAATAACAATATTCTTTGCCCTTATAAATTTTATGACTCGCAACCTGTGGCACGTAATCCTGCGAGGGTTAAATTTAACGTAGCATGCAACAAATTTTGTTGCTATGGATCTGTATCTTTAAAATCATCAGGATTAATACCTTGTAAAGATGTACCCTTCTAGTGATGGTTTTAAAATAATATAGTGGAAGACTGAATTAATTTTCCTCGCTTTCCCTTTGTTTGTTATTTAATTGAATTACACTTGTTTTATGTGATAGCATTTTTATGTGGGCCATGCTTTTTTGACATTTTATACAGTTTCAGAAAAAATTAAGCAAGCTGGAGGAACAGCTCAGTAACGAATTACAAGCCAAAGATGAACTAGAACAGAAGTACAGGTGAGACTGTTTTGACGTTTGGTATGTTTATAAGGAAGTTTTATTACCTCTTGTGTTTTTGAATGCTTAAAAGCATTTTAATCCACTTTGGGGATTCCCTACCCTGCAAGCAGACCTCACTGTAAATTGCTGCCTTAATTCTTGCTACTCTTGTGACTACTGTTTTATTTTTTTTTTCTTTTTTTCCTTTTTTGCCTTAACTCTCCATAAGAATCTCTGTTGTTTGAGTGATTTCCCAACTACTTCAAGTTTCATGTGATTGCTGAAAATAGAGTATCTTACCTAAAATGAATGAGACATTTCCAAACTTTCTAATTTCTGTTAAATCATCAGGGTTTAAAAATATTTTTCAATTTTTTTCAGGTCTACTAATACTCGTTTAGAGAAGATAGTGAAAGAACTAGATGAAGAGGTAAGTCTGTGGTTATTTCTTGTTTGAATTAGTAGCATTTCTGTGTGGCTTTTTTCCTTTTGAAACAACAAACTACTTTTGAGTAGCTGTGTATTTATAGAAAGTAATACCAGTTGATTTCTTGATATTCAGAAGCATGAAATTGTTGTCACTTCTAAAATATTTTCGTTATGATTTCTGTACTGCAACTACACATTTGTTTCCAGAATTCGTTTTTTTACCGTGTTTTTAATTTGGAGCACAGCGTGGTATAAATATCTCGTATATGATTCTAAAAATCGAAGACGTGAGAGTAGTGTTGTTAGAAGAGGAAGGCCATTCTTTGCATTGTTCTAATGGTGTCAGTTAAAAGGACCCTATTTCTTACCCCTCTTTGCACTTTAGTGCTTCTACACATTTGTCATATCTTTAGTGTATGTGTATAACTTAATGTATTGCTCATCCAGGTGCAAGTCAAGACCCTGCATTGCATGTATGTTTCTGTGCTTCCGGAGTGGCTGCTGGGCAGGTCTACCAGATTCATCAAATCCAAACAATCAAACAGTCTTTAAATTGTTAAAGTTCCTGGCCATAGCTAGCTCTGTCCCGGGCTGGATTTGACCACGTGTTCTGATACACTGTGTTTGTGTCAGGCAAATAGACTGTATTTCTCCATTACAAACTAAACGGAGTGCGTGAGCTGTCCTTTTATTATTTGAGGCATACCATTGTTCTGTATGTAATTAGTGGTGGGTTGTTGTTTTTTTTTTTTTAATATATCCAGATAACTTCAAGGAAGAATGTAGAATCTGCAGTCAGACAGTTAGAAAGAGAGAAGGCTCTTCTTCAGCATAAGAATACAGAATACCAGAGAAAAGCAGAACATGAAGCAGATAAGAAACGCAATTTGGAAAATGAGGGTATGTTGAACCATGATTGAAAGGTTCTGTTTTGATGTGAGTTTTTAAAAGATAAAATAAATGCATTATAGTTCAAAACGACGCTTTGTCATTATAGCAATTAACAACTTTGAATTGTTTTTGTTACAGTTAACAGTTTGAAAGACCAGCTTGAAGATCTAAAAAAGAGGAATCAGAACTCTCAAATATCCAATGAGAAAATCAATCAACTACAAAGACAGGCATGCCAACTTTATTATGTATATTTTAAAATAATAGCTGTTTGAAGTACAGATTTTTTTAAAATGTTTTAAAAGCTGTTCTTTCGTGTCACGTCTCGGTCTTCAAACGTAATCTTAAAATACACTCCTTTCTATTTCTTTAATCCATAAAATCTAGTATTCTGTGGTAGAAATGGTAGTTGTTATATTGTAATTGTTTCTGAAGTATGTTTTTATTAATCTTCAGTTGGATGAAGCCAATTCTTTGCTGCGGTCGGAGTCTGATACTGCAGCCAGGTTAAGGAAGAACCAGACAGAAAGCACAAAGCAAATCCAGCAGCTGGAAGCTAATAATAGAGAACTACAAGATAAGAACTGCCTGCTGGAGAATGCAAAACTCAAACTGGAGAAGGACTTCCTCAACCTTCAGTCTGCTTTAGAATCAGAAAGGAGAGATCGAAGTCATGGATCAGAGATTATCAGTGATTTACAAGGTATTCCTGCAAATCTTCTGAAGTTAAGCTTGCTTCTTGTTTCAGAAACAAAAATAGGTTTTGGTGATGTTATTTGAGCTTCAGCTTGTGACTAGATTAGCGTGCTGTTATATGCAATGTTATGTAAGTGTGGACACACATTTAAAAGAACATTTATGAAATGTTACTGTAACTTTTAAAGTCACCCCAAAGGGAGATGTTCTTAATAGTCAGAATTAGAAGCTGTTACACATGAAAAATGTTATCTCTAAGTAGATAAAGTACATTGTTTTTTCACATACTGCCGAGCCTCATTGATATTTTGGTCATTTTTAGGTCGAATATCTAGCCTCGAAGAAGAAGTGAAAAATGGCAAGAGTGCATTAGCCAAACTGGAAATGGAGAAGAGACAATTGCAGGAAAAAATTACAGATTTAGAAAAGGTAATAGCACTTCGAAGCGAACATTGGTGTTACATTCTTATGGAATTTTAAAATTTGCACTTCTGTTACTTGAGACATGGATACAAAATCTATGCGAAAAATAAGCCTTGTTTTCAGTGTTTATTCTTTTTCTTTGTATTTTTTGTTTATTGGTTTTGGAATTTGAGGCGGGGGTGGGGGGGAGACATCATTTCCTTTATGATCATAATACATTATACTTCCAAAGTACATAATAATGTACTCCAGTGTGTAGCTTAACAGTCCAGTAGTAACATTTCATTTTGTCTGTTGTGAGGTTTTTTTAACTCTCAATATTGCCCGAAGTAAAAAAGCTTCTGCTAATATTTTTTTCGACAAATTTGTCATTGAAACAAAAGTATTGAGAAAATTCTTCAATAAACTTAATATTTGAGACGCTCTTATTGTTAAGGCAGTAATTCTAGAATTGTTTGCAACTGGGGATGTTGTGCATTTTTGGAGCCCTTTGCCATCCATAGAAAAACATCTGTAGAAATGATTTCTCAGTTAGCTCCTTAGAATTTGAGCTCTCCCTTCTACTCTTAGCACACTTCCAAGCAGCATATTACTGCTGTCCAAAATTTTGTCTTTAACCTTATGTATTTAGTGTTTTATTTCAATTTCTTTTTTTTAGGAAAAGAGCAACATGGAAATAGATATGACATATAAATTCAAAGTTATGCAGCAGAACCTTGAACAAGAAGAAGCTGAACATAAAGCCACAAAAGCACGATTAGCAGACAAAAATAAAATCTATGAATCTATAGAGGAAGCAAAATCCGAGGCTATGAAAGGTATGTATTTGACATCACAGTTGGACTTAGGTGTAAGTGATATGAAGTAGATAATACAATCTTTTGATGCTAGTGGAAGCCTAAGCGTAGGTGTTTTCCCTTGATTCCCTGTTCTTTTTAAATATCATTAGTGTTGTAAAAATCAGTCGTAGTCCCTTTATCCTTGCTTTGCTAGATTAAAGACACACTGGTTTAGTCTCAGTAAAACAGGTTCTCCATTGCACACGCCACTAATTCATTTTCTGTGCTAGTGTATTCTGACTTAATTTTTCTTGAATTTTTATTACTGAAACTGCTTGAAACTTTTTTGCTAAGAGCTTATCTGTGCTCTTACTCTGTGTACTCATACCTTTTTGTATCTTCGTAAATAAAATATATGTCAGGAACTTAGCGATTTAAATATGTAGACCAGGTAGAGTTAGAAATGGCAAAGCCTTTGCTGCACTTCCATAGTCACCATGCACTGTTCTGGTACATCTCGTGACAACTGAAATATCTTGGAGAGGGGAATAATTACTAAACAATTCCTGAAGATGGCTCTTAGTTTTGAATTAAATGGCTCGTGTTTAAAAAGCTGCCTACAGATCCTGTCCTTCCAATTGCAAAAAGCATTCACAAAAAAATTTTGACCATGCAGATGTTCAAAAGAAGCCCAAATGATTCAGTAACAACGGCTGAATCACTTGGTATGTCAAGTTCCCAAACAGCTTCAACTGTTTAAATGATTTTAAGTTATCATAGTCAAAGGAACACTTCAATAGATTTAGATGGAATAGTTTTGAAAATCCATCCTTTTTATCTATCTCAGATGTGTTGCAGATAAACTGGAAGTTATCTTGAAACTCAAAAGTAGGAAATAGCGATCAGTCAGGAATGTTTGCAAAAGCATCCTCTGGGTGTGGGTATGCTGTGAAAAATTTAATGAATCACTTTTCAGCAATCTTTCTCTTCAATGTTAAAAGGATAAACATGTTGCTTATTGTTAATATGGTACAGACATCCTCCTTCTCCCCTCGCCCTCCAAAATCTACTCATTTACACTGAATGACATCTTAAATCTCTTGCTTGACAGAAATGGAGAAGAAACTTTTGGAAGAGAGAGCTTTAAAGCAAAAAGTGGAAAATCGGTTGTTAGAAGCTGAAAAGCAGCGCTCCATGTTGGACTGTGATCTCAAACAATCACAACAGAAAATCAATGAGCTCCTTAGGCAAAAGGATATACTAAATGAAGATGTAAGGAACAATGACAAAGGGAGTCTTGAGTGGAACCTGGTTTTCAATGTCGTAATATTTTCCCTGTTATAGCTATATTTAGGGGTGAATATATTTGTGAATCAATATATTTAGGAATGAATATTTGTGAATGAAAATTGCAGCAACTTTTTGCTTCTCTGTATTTGAGACTTTAAAAAGTCTACTTTATGGAGTGTGAGTTCATTTTTCTGAAATATTTCAGCGTTATTGATTCAGGAATGTAAAATGCTGTGAGATTGACATGGAAAAACTAGCTTATTTATTGTGTGCTAATGCCTTTATTCAGCAGAAAGCTTTGACTTAGGAAAAGATGTGAACATGTTGTACAAAAATGCAGAGGAAGTCAATAAATGTTTAAATGTTGCTTTCCTGTGTAGGTCTGTAAAATTCACAGGTTTCTGTTTATTTTTCAGGTAAAAAACCTCACATTAAAAATAGAGCAAGAAACACAAAAGCGCTGTCTCACTCAAAATGACCTCAAGATGCAAACGCAACAGGTCAACACCTTGAAAATGTCAGAGAAGCAGTTAAAACAGGAGAATAACCATCTTCAAGAAATCAAATTAAGTCTGGAAAAACAAAATAATGAACTCCGCAAGTAGGCAGAGTTGCTTTTTATGTTTTAGTAATGTTGCTGATTTGTAATTATTTTTTGGCAAAAGCCGAGAGCAATATTAATTTAAAAAAAATTGCTGCACAGAATATGCTATCCTACAGTGCAAAATGTAATTGTTGTTTAAAATAATTTATGGTGACTCTAGTTCAGATTTGCCCTAGTGATTTGGCAATGTATAGATTTGTAGTAACAGATGTTTGTTGTCCAGAAAATCTTAAAAACCCCAGCTTAAAAACAAGAGTGAGGACTTCAGAGGAACAGTTATTTAATAGAAAGTCTAGGTACTTTTTTTTTTTAAAAATTACCTAAGACCTCAGTAAAGAGGAAAGTTACTGGCGTTATTAGTCCAGGAGAGCTTATTAGAGTTGGAGATGAATAGTAATACAGAGCTGTGAAGCATAACCATTGGAAATAGCCACTACTACAGATGTTCAAACACATCTGATGGGTCTTCAAATAGGAGTTGTGTTAAATCCAGCAGTTCTTCAAGGTCTTACAAGCAATATTTGCACCTCATAATATATAAATAATTGAATATTTTTTAAATGCAAAGACCATTCTTGTGAATGAAAAGACAAGTTTAGCACATATATCAGATTAATCTGATTCTTAGCTCCTCTCTGACTTCTGATGGTTTATCTCCCTGCCCAGGGCAGGGGGTTGTAACTAGATGATCTTTAAGGTCCCTTCCAACTCTAACCATCCTATGATTCTATGACCTCCTTGTGCTTTATCTTTTCTGCCATCAAGATGCAGTTACTCACCTAGAAGGCGGCTGGCTACATGTTACGATTGCTGTAATGTGAAACACTGGCAGAAATCTTTTCTGCTACGTAATTGTTCTTTGTTATGGACTGACTAATTGACTTTCTGAGTTGTTTTAATAACAGATGAATTCAAGAAATTATGTGTGTCAAAGAATACAGACATGTTTTCACAGACTGAGCTCCAGCAAACAAGAGACCCAAAACAATCTGTCAGATCAGTGACATTTTACATGGAAATAAGATTCTGTCAGTGGCTGTTTGTTTTATCAGTGTCTCTTACTGGTTAAACTATGTGCCACCATTGTAGTTAGTGTGTTAGCAGTATTAAACTGACTTCTTATTAGTTCAATTTTCTCAGCTGTACAAGTCAAAAAGAGAGTTTGTTCATTTTGGTGGCCAGCACAGCCCAAACCATGACAAGCTGGTACCCAGAGGAAGCCTCAAGTTTAATTGCTGACCATGCTTTGGTCAGTAAATGACTGAAGGATCTTAAGAGTGTGAATGCTGTCTTTTCTGTTTACTGGCTTGGAATTTCTTCGTATCTTTCCTTTTAAAGTATGTTATTCCTTTCTAGGGAACGTCAAGATGCAGATGGACAAATGAAAGAGCTTCAAGACCAACTTGAAGCTGAACAGTATTTCTCGGTATGTTTTATGCTGCTTTATTTTTATACTAATCTGTTTTTAAGCGCAATGTGAGCTTTTCTTCTTCCTCCTCAGCCATCAGGCATTTCACATCTATAACCTAAAGCTAATCCTTTTTCTTGTGTCTGTCTTCAGTCTTGTCTGCAGCCTTGTCGTCACTCCTTGTTCTTGATCACTGAGCAGTGTGAAAGAACTTGTGTTAAGATAATGTCCTGGCTTTGAAAGGAGTCACAGGCACAGTTTAGAGGGAGGGAGGAGCTGAACAGCTCTTTTTTCCACAGTGTGAATAATCTTCTGCATGTTTCAAGCTTTTTGCATTCAGCATCTCTTCCATGCTGCATGGAAGGGAAGAGCTGTATTCTCAGAATCATGTGGTATGACAAAACATGTGCGTTTAAGGCTTGGAAGGAAATTTTTGCATTACAGCCAAACTTAGCAGAGATCTGTGGCAGGTTGACCCTGGTGGGATGCCAGGTGCCCACCAAAGCTGCTCTATCGCTCCTCTCCTCAGCTGGATGGGAGAGAAAATATTGCACAAGGCTCATGGATCAAGATAAGGACAGGGAGAGATCGCTCACCAGTTACTGTTACCGGCAAAGCAGACTTGACTTAGGGAAATTAGTTTAATTTATTACCAATCAAATCAGAGTAGGATAATGAGAAATAAACCCAAATCTCAAAAACACCACCCCTCCCTTCTTCCTGTGCTCAACTTCACTCCCAACTTCTCTCCCTTGTCCCTCTGAGCAGCACAGGCGGATGGGGAATGGGGGATGTGGTCAGTTCATCCCACATTGTCTCTGCCACTCCTTCCTCCTCAGGGGGAGGACTCCTCACACTCTTCCCCTGCTCCAGCGTGGGGTATCTCCCACGGGAGAAAGTCCTGCGTGAACTTCTCTGAAGTGAGTCCTTCCCACAGGCTACAGTTCTTCACAAACTGCTCCAGCGTGGATCCTTCCACACATGCAGTCCTTCAGGAGCAGACTGCTCCAGTGTGGGTCCCCCATGGGGTCACAAGTCCTGCCAGCAAACCTGCTCCAGCGTGGTCTCCTCTCTCCATGGGGCCACAGGTCCTGCCAGGAGCCTGTTCCAGCGTGGGCTTCCCACAGGGTCACAGCCTCCTTTGGGCACATCCACCTGCTCCGGTGTGGGGTCCTCCACGGGCTGCAGGTGGATATCTCCTCCACCATTAACCTCCATGGGCCGCAGGGGCACAGCCTGCCTCACCATGGTCTTCGCCACAGGCTGCAGGGGAATCTGCTCCAGCGCCTGGAGCACCTCCTCCTACGACTGCAATTGCTGCTGCATGTTTTTTTTTCCCCGTTCTTAACTGTGTTACCTCAGAGATGCTTTATTGTGAGCTTTAAGAGTTTTTGCTTTATTGTGATAAGGTACAACAGAATAAATATGTATCGTACTTACAAATCTTCACTAATATATGGAGGTTAATTAATATTAACAGTGCACAACCAGTCTCACTGCAGGTAGGGCCCAAAAGGCTTTTTTAAGAATTAAAGGAAGCTTAAGATTTTACTGTGGTCTTTACATCAGTGAGGAGAGGGACTATCTGAAGTTTCAGTAGATCAAAAAGTTGCACACATTAAAGGAGAAGAGATAGGGAGAGTTGAGATCAGTTGACTGCTGTGGATAGGCCAAGGACAGTCTGTCTTGAAATTCCTGTGCTAAATGCACTTGCAGTTGTCTGACACTTTACCTCTGGATAGTGATTTGAGTGTACAGAGCAATATAATGTTTTTTTCATTTCCTCTAGAGCTATAGATTTGTATCCATTTCACAAAAATGTCAATTTCAAATGCCTTTCTCATCTTCTTTTTCCCTTCCTCCTATACTGCTTTTTACTCTTTAACTGTAATGTTGTTTTAATGGATTTGTGTGGTTAAAATCTAAATTCTACCTCCCTCCCTCCCTCTGACAAAGATCTAAAATAGTACCAAAAAATGAATAACTATTTTTCCTTGTATCTGAAGCGTCTGATTTTCTATCAAATAGTGGTATTCACATTTAGAGTCTCCTTAACAGTATGTTTACAAACATAAAATGTGTATCATATATCTATCCATTCACAAATACACAATCTAAAAAAGAAGACCCAACAGAAAAATAAAATAACCAAAGCATGATTTGGAATAGGATGACAATTGGTTAAATTTACTCTAATTGAGTGTGTGATTAAAGAATTGCATATAGTGTCATCTTGTATCATTTTTTTGTGTACCTCCAAGCTAGAATATGCAAGTCACGTCCTTTTCTATCCAATTTTAAATTCTAGACTCTGTACAAGACACAAGTTCGAGAACTTAAAGAAGAATGTGAGGAGAAGACCAAACTTTGTAAAGAAATGCAGCAAAAGATACAAGAGTTACAGGATGAGAGGTAGGTTTTACTAGTTGCACTACTGATATATAAAAGATTCGAAGGCGTTTTGTTGTTTTATTAGTTTTTCTTTTTTTTTTTTTTTTTAAAACCCCACCCCACCCCACCCCCCCCAACCCCATAACCTCTCATCTCTTAAGTTAATAGAGTTAATAGTATGTATCAATAAATTGCAGAGATTCCTTGGCTGCTCAGCTAGAGATTACTTTGACAAAAGCAGATTCAGAACAACTTGCACGTTCCATTGCTGAAGAGCAGTACTCTGATTTGGAAAAAGAGAAGATTATGAAAGAGCTGGAAATTAAAGAGATGATGGCGAGGCATAAACAGGAGCTGACTGAGAAAGATGCCACCATCGCCTCTGTGAGTAATGTGAATAATAAATTTGATAGAGGTTTGCATGGGCTTGAGTTTTATTGGCAGTTTGAGTTATCCATTGTTACTTAGCATGCTTAGAGGTAGGTGATATACAAGTGTATTTGACATTTTCAATATACTTACTTTCTATGAATGAAATAAAAAAAATCTCTTACCATGTTTCTTCCATACACATATCTGTTCTTTCTTCTGTGTCCTTACCCCTATTACAGGTAGTCCTCTTATCCCTATCCTGGTTTTATTCTGAAGCGTTTCCTTCTGTCCTGTAATACTTTTGTTTGCCAAATGTGTTTTGTTAGACAGTCACATGTACTTTTTGTTTTGTAGTTGGAGGAAGCAAACAGGACACTAACTAGTGATGTGGCTAATCTTGCTAACGAGAAGGAAGAACTAAACAATAAACTGAAGGAAGTACAAGAACGTATGTATTCTCTGAACCAAATGTAATTTAATTTGAAACCACTTTTGTTCTTTAATAGTATTATTTTCTTTTATAATGAGCTTTCATAGATTTTTTTTTTTTTTAATTACCTTGCTACAGAAATTACAAAGCTAAAAGAAGAAGAAGCAAATGTAGGAAATATTAAGGCACAATTTGAGAAACAGTTGTTGACTGAAAGAACATTGAAAACCCAGGTAAGCCAATGTATCTGAATGAAGGGGTAGTGTTCATGAATTAAATAATTTTTAATAGGAAACTTTCCATGGTAAATATAAAATATATATGATTAACACTTTATTCTTTTTTTGCCACTGAAACAAAAAATATTGATTCTTTTTTTTTCTTTTTTTTCTTCTACTAAGTAGACTTTCAGTGTAGTGAAACTGCATCCTCATGATTTATTATAGAGGAACTCCTAATCCAGATACAGTCCAGCAAAAAAATCTTAATTTCAGTCAAATAAATTCATATTTTACTGGTTTCCATCCTGATTTATATTCCTTTGTAAGTTCCGTAAAACAGTATATTTCTGATTGTTTTTTAGAACAAGTGACATTTTAATCCAAAGAGACATTTTGTGGCTAGCTAATGGAAACAGAAGAGAATATTTAAATGAGTAGAAGTGTTCAAATCAAATGCTTGCTTAAAGCGAGAATGGCATTATTATTACCTTCTTTTCAATTTTAAGTAATACATTGAATTAAAGCAACTTTATAGTACCAGATACGCAGGAGTCTTATTTACAGTTAGATTAAAAGTGTCTGGTCGTGGATAGAAGACTTTATTTGTTCACGATTTAAGTCTATGTATTCATTGGTGTGTTTTTTGGGTTTTTTTCTTCTCCATGGGAAGGCTGTGAATAAATTGGCTGAGATCATGAATCGGAAGGGTCCAGTCAAACGTGGAGCTGACACTGACGTACGGCGGAAAGAAAAGGAAAATAGGAAACTGCATATGGAACTGAAGTCTGAACGAGAAAAGTTAACCCAAATGATGATCAAATATCAGAAGGAAATCAATGAAATGCAGGCAGTAAGATCCTTTTGCAAGTATAAACATTGATAGCATTTTCTGTAATTCTCATTGGATTAATACAGGCTTTAAGGTAGTATATACAGTCTCTATTCCTGAATTTCCTGTGGCCAAAAGAAATACACCGTATATATCTTGAGATTGGCTGCCAAGTCTGCATAATTTTCTACTTATATTTTCTCTGAGTAACTGAGTATTGTGATGATAGGAGATCTTGTAATTTATCCTTACAGCAAATAGCAGAAGAAAGTCAGATACGGATTGAACTCCAGATGACTCTGGACAGCAAAGACAGTGACATTGAACAGCTTCGTTCACAGCTGCAGTCGTTGCACATTGGTCTAGACAACAGTAGCATAGGCAGTGGACCTGGAGATGCTGAGGCAGATGATGGATTCCCTGGTATGTTAATTTTATTAGTACTTCTGCGTTAATTGGTTTTATGTCAGTGTTTTACTATAGAAGCTGAAGTATTAGATTAACCCTCTGATGATTCTGTGGCTTTTCATCTTCAGGTGTTTCTACCATCTTATTAATGCCCTGATAGTGATCACTGTCCACCTACTAACTAAATCTGTCTGTAATCATACTTCATCTTTCATTTATTTAAAGAAATTTCTTTTAAAAATTCTTTGGACCCCATTAAAACTATTTTTTTTTTCCATTTTATTGTGGTGGCTATTTTGCAATTACTGTGTTATGTGATGAAATGTAAAACTAATACTCTGTATTCTTAGAGATTCTATTTTGACTTCTTTTCTATCTTTTTCCTCCTTTATGCTTTATGTTTAGTCCATATCACTCAATCCCACACTATGGAATCCATGTCTTTTACCTACCAGCACTCTTCTACCTCTGTCAGTATTGCCACTAAGCCTTCCAGTTCTCGCATGCTTCTCGATTCTGATTCTGACTCAGAGGAAGAACCTTTGTCTTGTTCCCAGAGCCCAACAGAAGTTGATAGCACAGGTGACATCCCTGAGAACTGTTTGGTTTTGTTCTTACTTGTTCTTATATCTGTTTCAAAACTAACACTATTAATACGTTATTAAAGAAAAAAAAGACACAAAAAACAAACTTGGCAGTAAACACACTGTAGTGGCAGTAAACATTGCCATCAGAGACATGAAAAAATTTGCGTGAACAAGTAACTGGCCTGTTTTCTCTAAATGCTTACGGATGCTTGCTGCTATTCACAAAACCACTGTTTTTATTAAAGCATTGAATAAATGAGCCTTATGGCCTTGTTTTCAAGGTAGCCTCTATCCATTATCTGCAGCTATCTGTATGACCCTAAGATACTGGATACCAAAAGTCAAATCTTCGTGTTTAAGCGTGAAAACATCTAACTCCTCCCCATCTACATGTACATTACTTGCTCATAGAAATTCAGTCTTCTGAGCATTACATTGTTTTGCCTTATTTCAAATCTTATATTGGATTCTGGTTGGTAAGGCAAGCAAAATTTATTCATTTTTCCGGATACATAAAGCATATAATGAAATGATACAGCTCTGGTAAAACAGAGCTTTGTTTCACTAGTTCTGTAGTCATTTTATATGACTACACATACACTGTGTTGAACAAAACTTCTGTTTAGTGTTAATGTCAGAGGTGGGTATTTTAGTTGCATTCAAATTTCTGTATTTCACTTGAGGTTCCTTTAAAGTGTGAATAGCTTTCCACTGAAGGCAAAACGTTTTCTGGAATATTGACGTTACTTCATCAGACTAGACTAAAGAATAGTGCATTTCCTCTCTTTTCCTCATTCTCTGGTTTTTGCTATGAGGCTTCTAATAAAAGAATTGCTAAGTGCATACGTAATTTTGTCCTTGTTAGCTGCTGTTGTGGTATCTGCATGGTTTTGTTTTGTTCTAAAGTAAAAATCATATCTAAGCTAGGACTTTTTTCTGACGTAATTACAACAGATTTGAGGTATAATGGTTGTGCTTTGTTGGTTTTTTCCTTCCTAGTGCTTATAAGCATGTACTATGAAAATTTTGTAATATTCTCGCCTTTCTCTGATCTGTTGATGTGCAATGGACACCAGAAATGAAGAAGTGTAACCAGAAACTCATTTTGTCCAGTTTCATGTGATAGTAGTAGAGATTACAGAGAAAAATAGGAAGAGTATTAATGCATATTTTTTCACACCATTAACAAACTGTACATACTTCCTGGATGTGGGGAAGGATTTTTTGCATCAGCATTAGTGTTGCTACCCTTTGTATCAGGTGTAGTCGAAAAGAACAACTTAAAGTGACAGGTATGAGGCAAAAGATACGGTATAGAACTACTTTACGTACTTAGTATGTACATTAAAATGTGTCATCAACAGCAATGCTTATATAGCAGTAAACTTTGAAGACAGTGCATATCTCAATAAATAACCTCGCTTCAGGTCTCTCTGGGCAACATGAGAACTCTATGAATATCTAATAACTATTTGTTATGCCGTGTTAAACACGGGCAGGAGCCTGCAAATGCCCTCTCGTGAGAAAGAAAATACCTTTTGCAGTTTTAGCAGCATGTTTGTGTTCCTTTCATGGTTTGGAGTTTGTTAATACTCGAGGCTTTTAGTATTTTTGATTTGGAGGTTCCTCAGCATCAGCAGAGGTTGTCTGCTAGGGCGGGAAACTTATTAGAGAGATAATATTGCAAATGAGTAGTTCCTCTTAATAAAACACAGGGGAAAGAAATGCTGTAAAATGGGGTCAAGCACTAGGAAAGTGTGATCCTGGTGAGCTTTTGGTTACGTGTATGTATGTCAAACAACGCTTGACCTGTTAATACCATTGATAAATCCTATCTGACTAACGTGCCCCTGCAATATAAAATATTGCAAATACGTGTAGGGGCAGCTGAATTTTAAGCAAGGCCTAAGGATTAGCCAAAAATGACTTACTTGAGATTAGAAAGCCTAGGAGATGTAGACAGAATTAGAAAAAAGAAAAATTGACAGAGCAAAAAATATGAATTAGAATACTAAACTTCTGAAATTTTGCCTGGCGTATAGAGGATATAGGTTATTAGTGGTGGTAGTTTGCCTTTTTTTGTCTTGAACTGGATGTTGTGTGGTCTGTACTAATATCTTCAGGTGCTGTTTTAAAAGGTAAAGGTTGGTAGACATAAGCATTTTAAGTCTTGAAAAATTACTAAAGGCAGTGTGTGTGCTATAATTGCAAGTTTGCTCTTCCCCTTCTTTCTTGTGCCTACTACTTTTTTTGTGATTGCATTGTTGGTTCTTGGCTGTATTCAAGAATACATGATTTAATTTGTTCCTGAACGTTTACTGTGACAGACTTTGCAAGACCTTATAGTTTTAAATAGTTCATGTTCTCATGTTTGCTCTGCTGCTTTATTATTGATCTTCAATAACTATTTTAAAATGCACAGTAGTCTCAAAAATAATGCTTTGTGAAATATTGATGTTCTTTAATATGTATCTTTTTTTTAGAATCGAGATTGGAAGGCTGGCTATCACTGCCTGTTAGAAATAACACTAAAAAATTTGGATGGGTTAAAAAGGTGAGAAAACCAGATTTATTATCTGTTTTCGTGTGTAGTCTGGATTTTAAACTTACAGCAGGTTTTCAACACTTTAATATTTCGTTGATATATGTTCTCTCATTACTTAAATGTATAAAATATGTTAGCCGGTACAGCTATGTCTGAGTGGAGCAGGTTCAGACAACTGTAGTAGGTTAAGACACTTCTTTGTCCAGCCAGAGGTGAGAACATAATCCTCAAACGTTTGTACGTTGAGCCGTGAGCATTCCCAGCAGAATTACATAGCTGGAATTCAGCAGAGTCTGGATGCAGATGCCCTTGACAAACTTTTAATGTAGGAGATAAAACTTACCAACTCCTCATGCATCCTTCACTTGTTTACTGCTTTTCAGTAGCCTCTTTGAAGGGTCTTTGCCCGAAGAGTAACTACCAGTTCACTTACTGCTCAGTCAAACTGTAGGTTCTCAACAAAATTCTGGAAGTAGGAGGTCCTCTAGGTAACTAGGGTTTTTTTATGAAAATTGCTAGCAATGATGGTAATTGTAACAGTGATCTTTGAGTATGATCCCCATTAGTTGTGAACTGCACGTGTAAAACAGGCATCATAAGATGGCAGTTACTCTCACTACCAGTCCACGTAAAATAGAAATGAAAAGCTCTTATCTTACTTTCTTACAGACTTTCTTTTTTATCGCTTCATAGGTACTTAAATCTGTTTAAATGTCAATTAATGTGATAACATAAATTGTTTTATCAGGTGATCAGAATTTTGTTTGTTGTGCAGTGAATTTATTGGCAAATCATGGACTTAGAATACAGTACTACTGTTGTCCATTTAGCTACCATTTAATAAAATTGTAGAAAAATATTGGTGTGACATCTGTGGTAATTGCTGTGACATCTTTGACATCTGTGATGAACTTGATTAAAACGTATATTTCATCCTTTTCTGTCTCTTAACAGTATGTAATTGTAAGCAGTAAGAAGATCCTGTTCTATGACAGCGAACAAGATAAAGAGCAATCTAATCCCTATATGGTATTAGATATAGAGTAAGTATTACCACATGAGATTCCTTCTTCTGATTTGTACATGAATTTTGTCGGAAGGACTTTGACAAAAGGCCTTTTGAGGTCCAGTCGGGGAGTGCAACGTCAAATGGGGCAACTTTTGTTTGCAATTTGAACTACAGAGCTGGGAACTTAAGTACGTGTTGTAAGCAGTGGCGCAGCAGTAGTGCGGGGCTCAGTCCCATATGGGTAGCTCTGATGTAACTCAACTGCTTCCACTCGCTCAGCTGGACCTACCTCAGTTACAACATGTCCTCATGGGTAGGTTGTATAGTTAATTAATTTTTTTTCTTAATAAATACAGAATGTGGATATTCAGAGATTGGAGCATGGGTAGAGGTTTGTGTTAGAAAGCCACCGGCAATCATCAAAGTCATGTCATGTTGGTTTTTCAGTGCTGTCACTTTTTTCACAAATATAACTGGATACCTGTGACTTCGTCTTATTTAGGGTTTTTGGAAGTCCATGTGCGAGATTGGAAGATAGGACTTTAATCAAGTGATTAGAAATTTGTACTGGAAAATCTTTAATGGTTCTAAGTCTTAATGTGGTCTATTGTATCTTAACTTAATCTGTCAATTTAAATTTATCATTTTGGTAATGTTAATTTTTGTCCTTATTGAAATAATTTCCTGTAGCAAACTCTTCCATGTCCGACCAGTCACTCAGACAGATGTGTACAGAGCGGACTCCAAGGAAATTCCTAGGATATTCCAGGTATTCAGTAATAGATTAATGTTTCTAGTGTAACAAAGATGGTATTTCACACACTGCCAAAAATATTTTCATAACTTTGTCTAATGGAATATTCACTAAAAAAAAGAACTTGAAGAAAATCTCTTCCATTGCCTTTCCTCGATCTTTCCACTTAATTACTCTGAATTTCCATTTGTCGTATAGGAGTACTGAGATTATTTTGCTTTGGTTTTAGATTCTATATGCTAATGAAGGAGAGAGCAAAAAGGAACAGGAATTTCCTGTGGAGCCCATGGGGGAGAAGTCAAATTACATTTGTCACAAAGGACATGAGTTTATACCTACTCTTTATCACTTTCCAACCAATTGTGAAGCTTGCATGAAGCCACTCTGGCATATGTTTAAACCTCCTCCTGCTCTAGAATGTCGCCGTTGCCACATCAAATGTCACAAAGATCACATGGATAAAAAAGAAGAGATTATAGCACCTTGCAAAGGTAAATAGCAAGTATTTGAATACGCATATAGTTGCTGGAGTCACAAGGCATTCTAATAGATCAGAGGATTCTAGTAATAGTCTGACACCAACTAAACGTAAACAGGTGGGTTTTTCTTTTATTAGTACGTAGCTGTCAGAACTTTTCTAAGGGTGTCTACACGAGGATCAGCTCACTGCTGTGAGTTCATGGCCAATATATATACATACCTGTTGTGTTGTCAGCCTCATGCGGTAAAGCGTGGTAGCTGTAAGGCTGTTCACACTGTGTGCGGTGCCGCATTGCTCTGCAAAACGATAGTGTTAGTTTGTGTTATGAAATAGCTTACCTTCAGTGAAGTTTACTCCTTGTGACTCAGGTTACATAGTTTCTTGGGCTCAGGCACACCTCTTTGTGTTACCCTTCCTTGTTTCTTCCCCTGTGAGAGTCTGTCTTCCATTGTACTAAGTTGTTACCCTCTCAATGTAAGGAGGGGGCACTGTCAGCAGCCAGGAAACATAAAGTTTGGCAAAATCTGGTTTGCTTTGCTTTTGGTTTCTCTGATGATTTCTCTTTGACTGTGAGAGTATGGTAATCTGACAACTAATTTTCAATGTGGGGACATGTCTAGAATAATAATATTAATTTCTATTTTTAAAATTTTTATTACAGTGTACTATGATATTTCAACGGCAAAGAATCTACTACTGTTAGCTAATTCTACGGAAGAACAGCAAAAATGGGTGAGCCGACTCGTGAAAAAAATACCCAAGAAGCCTCCAGCACCAGACCCCTTTGCTCGATCTTCTCCCAGAACTTCCATGAAGGTACAGCCAAACCAGTCCATCAGACGACCAAGTCGACAGCTTCCTCTAAACAAACCAAGGTGACACAAGAGCTTATTGTTTTAAACATTTTACTACAATTATTGTCGCATATTTTGATGAGGACTGTTGACCACAAATGTTGTTGACCACTGATGAGTGCCGTTTTCTATAAACCTCAGTTCGGTTACAAGAAGAGCCACGATGTTTGTTCCCTTGTTTAAAGGATCTTGCATTACCTGTTAGTTAACCCTGCCATACTGATAATGTATCCCATCGCTCTTAGGTGTAATAGGCAGAACTTGTAGCATTGTCTGTAACCTAACAGTTCCTGTGAACTGGCAGCTGGTAGGGAAACTGAGGTTTAATTAGACAAAGAGTCAGTGAGAGGGGTGTGAAGATTTTAAAAAAAAAAGAAAAGAAAAAAGTTTTAACAGTTTTCAGGATGACCACTACTGTACCTGATTTGAAGTTGAGCAATAAAGTTAGGTGCTTGTGGTTCTAATGAACCTTGGAGAGAATTAGGTGCCCTCAAAAAGCAGTCTAGAAGGCCTTACACATAGTAAAAGACTGTCTTTCGTTTCTTATTGCTTGGTTTTGAGGCATGTGTTTGAATTCCTGCCCCACTCTAAGGTGGGAGGGTGAGAGACAAGGAGCTCAGTTGAACCAAGAGAGGTTCTGACTGGATAGAAGGAAAAGCCAACGCAGAGAGCCAGGCATGGAGGCAGGCTGGTGAGGCTGGCCATGTAGCTGACCCTGCTTTGAGTGGGAGCTTGGACTAGAGAGCTCCTGAGGTCCCTTCCAACCTCCATGGTCTTATAAATGCTATCCCTGACAAGAACTTCACATGGAGATTGTTTCCCCAAGGTTTTCATGGCTGTTGTTCTTTGTGATGAAGAAAGGGCAAACCAGGTTTTGATACAGACCATACAATTTCTGCTTATCCATTCAGCTGGATTGTGCCAAAGAGATAATTCCAAATTGAAAAAAAACAACTTCAATATATATTTTAACGCCTAATAAAATCTTTAAGTGTTTTAGAAATTACAATAGCCATAGTTCATACAACAGATGAATATTGAGCCTTTTCAGGGATACATCACATTTAAAAGTATAAAAACTTTGAAACCTGAACACGCAGAAAAACCCTGAAACCCATTTTGTTTAAAGCGTGTGATTAACTATATTAAACACCGTAGCATGTTTTAGTGCAAACACGCTGAACGCTCCGTTAAGGTAAGGTTTCTATCTCTGCCTCCTGTGGTTAGCATATAATCCAGATTTAAAATCCATTGAGTTCACTGGAGAGATGACTAGTCTGGGTTTCACTTCTTGTAGCTATAGCAATAGAGAAGTTAGTACTTAAGATATTTGTCTAAGATGCTTCGATAACAACAGAAAGAGACTAGTGCTTCTAGACAATGACTCATCCCATCCCCAAATAAATGCCTAAAAGAGGTAAAATGACTCATTTGCTGACAAGGTTTGCCTCGCTTGCTTTCTTTGTTCTATATTGACCATAGAAGGAGCGCAGGCAGTGACGCATGGAGAACAAGTTGATATACCCTCTTTTTTGGCATTGGTTAGCTTTAAATAATGAGGTACAGGGTAGCCGTATAGTGTAGTCCCATGGTATTTGGGATATAGTAAAATCCTGCTGTATTTGTGTGTAAATTCGGATGATGCTATTTTATTTGATGTTCTGTTCAGCAGTCAAAATTATTTCATTTTAGTGGAAAAATCGTTAGCCTTGTGTTGTTCTCTGGAAAGGGATAGCAAGAGAGCATAATACTGCGCTTCAGTCAACAAGAACAGCAGCAAAACAAAAAGCAGCTAATTTTATGAAATGTACATGTTGGTCTTTTCTAATGATTTTTTTTTTTTTTAATCAATAATGGTAAGTGTTCTATGGAATTGAATAATTTGTGAGATAAATTTCCAATTAATACAGTAGTCCTGGCTTACATGAATGCTAACTGAATCTTCACATTCCAGGATAGGCGAAGGAAGGAACCCACCTACCTTAACACAGTCTTTTACTTAAAAAGGTTTAGTGGTAACAAATGGAATTTTGAAGTCTTTTATAGAAGCGTGACACACATTAAACATCAAACCCTCCTGTTGCAGATTACTTGATCTGGCATTTAAGGACTGGGATTGGTCATTTGATGATGTTGATGATATTGATGGTGATGATGATGATGATGACGATGTTTTTGATTTCTGAAGAAGTATAAGGGGTAAATCTAAATAGAGAGGAATGGATGTGTTTGCCTTTGAATACAGCATGCTATGTTGGATTTTGCTTCTCAAAGCAGAGAAAATACAAGATCTCATTTTAGTATTTTAAACAGTAAAAATGAGATTCTGTTCATGATGCCAATGAATTTTTAGAGGAGTCATCTTCATTAAAACAAAGTTGTTGCCTTTGTCAGTGTTTTTATTTTTCTAATGTTAGATCTTTTTTCAAAATTCATGTCTGCCTGCCTGAAAAAAAAAAAAAATCTGCTGTTTTCAGAGCTGTTGCTCATCTGTAGTACTAATACTGCTAGCTTTCACAGATGATTTTTGAAGGCTAAAAGGGAGATTGTAGCAGTTGGATGTTTAGCTGAAATAGAATTGGTAGTTACAAAGACTTTTCATTTTTAAGCTTTTAACTTAAACTGAGTGGCCTATGGCTAGCAGACATGAAATCACTGGAGTTCTGCATTTTGCTTTTCTATCTGTGTTATGAAGTGAATTTGACTTGGCTTTCCTTTGCAGTGCTGTGCTTTCAGGGTACCTAACCATGCTTTGAAAACTATGTAAACAAATGAGCTTTGCAGCTTCTGTGATACGGTTTCCTTGACTGCTTTAGAAAAGATACAGCTGTTTTATTGATCTAATTTGTCCCGTGGCTTACTCAAATATGCAGTGTGCATGCGAGTGATAACTATTTTATAGTTCTCAATGTTTAATCATTTTACATGTTGATGCAATGTTATGTTTACACAGAAAAAAAAACCCTAAATGTTAAATTCCTAAGAATTCTTTTAAATAGTACGAAAGACGTGTCTCAGCCTTATAAAAGAATGGGTGATGAGAGCAGCACTAGGGCTGTACCTCAGCTGCGTGCTCTGTTAACTGAGGTACCCGCTCTTGTAGAATTTAATTGGCTCGGTGTTTACAGTAACAAGCATTACGTTAATTAAATATACTGCATCTTTATGTATTAAAAGCATACAAATTACTAATCTTTTAGAAGTGACTATTACATTGTGCGTATTGTACTTTACCCTCATATATCGCAAGGGGGTTTAATTGATTGGGGATCGTAATGCGTAAGGATGTACTATACTTAAGTAGCGATGCTGTTGAATGCAGAGGAGTCTCCCAAGTACGCTGATAAGTCCCTATAAACTGAAGACTTTGAGGAAGTATATTTTTGTCAGATTTACATTTGTTGCACTTACTGACCGGGCTTCCTGCTTCTTTTTCAGCTAACTGCTTTCCGTGAATGCAGACACAATTCAAGGTGATAATTTTCTTCCTGTTACAGCAAGACTGAAACATATCCCAAAATATATTAAAAATATATATTTTCCTGAGAGATTGTGCTATATATATCAGAGGTTTACATTTTTGCTGCAATATAAATTACTAATCTCTGAGGGTTTTCCTGTATTCTCCTGAGTGACTGATCAAATGACGAATGGTTGGTAAATAGTAAAAGGATATGTTAGGTAACCTTTTAAACTCTATTCCACAAAAGCTTTCTTGGCAAGACACATACACTACATTTCATAAAAGGATCAAGAGGAATGGATATTAAAACGGAAGAAACTGACTTTTCAGCTTTCATAAAGATGCCACCAGCATGTCTGCAAGAAGAACAGGAGGAAGATCCACCGTAGTGGTATAGACTGCATCTGTAAGAAGTGACCATTATACTGTGTATATATATTGTACTGTAATACTGCAAGAGGGTTTTTAAAATCTTTCCACTTTATTTTTTTATGCTTATTAATCAGATACCGTTACTTATTGCAGTTGCAACTATGCACTTGTATAAAGCCATAATGTTGAAGTTTATATCATTCATACACGTCTATCAAAAGCTGCATGTCAGTGTTCAGCAGCTGATATAAGTTTGAAGTATATACTAGTTTCCGCTTACATCATCATGGGCAGTCCTGTTTTACCTGTTTAATTGCCTTAATTTAATTTTTTTTCAAGTTTTTTGCCCATTCTCTCTATTTAAGGAAAAAAGAAGGTTTACCAGCTCTTAGGATGCAATTTTGCTTTGTGGCAGAAAAAATAGTGCACTATTTTTACACCTAGTAAGTATATCAGCGTCAGCCTATTTTGAATGTATATCGACTGGTTTTAAGGGTGGAGAAGCGTTGGTTACAGAAACGTCTGATACCATTGGAATTACTAGACCATTTGCTTGTACATGTAACTACTCATCCAGCCCTTTTTACAAACCTCAATATTAGTTATTGACTTATATTAACCCTCATTAAGTGCTATGAAACTTCATTTTGCCTTGTTTTTGCATACTCTCCTGGATGTGTTTTTTATTTCTGGGGAAAAAAAAAAAGAATCTGTGACTATTTTTACATTTCACAACACAATATCCACGGACTGTCACAAACTTTAGGAAAACTAAAACATACTGTAGATGTATTTTAAAATTTTAAATCTGGTTCTCTAGCACATAGCTGTAGGCATAGATAAATATTTCAGTAGTGTGTTTTGAGAACTGATAGCTGGGAAGAAGGGGCCTCAGAGGCACTTAACCTGACTTTTTTTTTTTTTTTTTTAACTTGGAGTTGTACAAAAAATATAATTTATGTGGGCTCATTCATGATGTGTTCATAATTATCCCAGAAAATGCATGTTTTATACAACTACAGTATGCGATGTTAAACATATTGACATTAAAAAATGTAGTCTCCTATTTGGTCTCTTTATATATATAAATATATATATATTTAAAAAATATATATATATAAAATATTGTGTGGGAGTGCAGTAATTTAAAATATGATCTAACACTTCAATGAAGGAGGACATTTCACTTTAAAATTTTGTTTGTTTGTTTTTGTTTTTTTAAAGAGTGTTGAAATGTTTGGAAGGATAGGACCATGATTTATTTAACACTATCATGAAAGGTGGACTTGGAAACACTGAAATACTGAAAATGAATAAATATATTTACATTTTGTAACCTCTACTACAGTTCAACATAACAGAGCCAGAATGTATTCAGTCTTCTATTTATGCACTCGCAAAGTAAAATGTTTTTTGTGAGTTCTTAAATTCAAAACAAAAACTCTCATATCGTTTCTGTGAGGTATTATAACCCAGCGCACAGCTGCAGTGTTTTTTCCTGGCTTGTTTTGATTTGCAGAAGTACGGTATATTTTTAGGTAATGCAGATTTGCATAGAGTTCAACATTAAAAATGTATACAGTAAAACTGTTTCCATTCACTGAATGCATAAATATTTTATATATATATATAAAAAAAATGTTACATTGTGGGAAGTTCTATACTTTTCTGAATTGGAGAATATTATATATATATATATTTTTAAATAAACTATTTGAGTAAGGTAAAATAGTCCCTGAACTTGAGAAGCTGGTACTTAATTGAACTATTTAAATGTATAGGCAACTCCTGCGGCAGATGTGGGAAAGGCAAGGGCTGCTCAGAAGGCAGCGCAGCAAAGGCTGCGTGCGGAGGAAGGGCAGGCTCCAAGGGCGCTGTTGGGGCAGGCCACCGGCACTGGGGCTGGATCCCGGGCACCTTCTGGCCTTGGCGTGTCCTCGTCTAGTGTGAATCCCTGGGGCCCTGTTACTCCTGACATTTTAGGGAATGTACTGTGTTACTGTGTTTACTAGCCACGTTCTGTACTTGTAGAAATAGTTTTTAGCTGTACATACTGCAGGCTGTATTGAGATGCTGTTGTAGAACGATATGGGCTGATAGGGAGCACTGGAGGTCCTCTGGTCTGAGCTCTACCTCAGAGCAGGACCAACTTAGCATAGGTTCCTTAAGGCTTCTGAGTTTTCAGTGCCTCCAGGGATGGAGGCATCATCGCAATCCTCAGTTCTCCTTCATGCAGTTTGTCCCAAAACAAAGGAGGAGCATGGGCTGTGTTGAGCGGTAATGTGGAGATCGTTTGACCATGGTGTGATGTGCACGAGCCTTGTTTTGTACCCAGGACACAAATGGCAAAGCTGCTCTTCTGTTCTTCTCACTTGTCCTTCTGCTCGAGGCAGAGCTTCCATCTGCTGATGTAGGGAATGCAAAGAACTCTCAAACATTTGTTCATGAGACTGCGGTGTCTCCTTATTGTCCGGTGGTAACCTTTTAAAAATTTTGAGAGAAGAGCATATTCTTGAACGAAGGAATAGTTGTCTTAAAATCACTGATGTTTAAACACTTTCTTTTTGTGACAGGGCTGTCCCAGCCAACAGGACTTTGTTATGGCCTGGGTGACTTTATCTGTAGAAATTCTCTTGTTGCAAGTCCTTTTGTTTCACAAGAGTAAACAAAGAGCATAGCCAAGCTGCAGATTAACCTCATGGAAGAATCAGACTCGGAGCCAGAAGCTGAAGATGCTTGTAGGGAAGTTGCTGTTTGGTTTCTATCCAAGAGCTCACCAGCACGGAAGCTGGACAGGAAGACCCCGTCGGAGTTAACGTGTCAGTTGTCACAAAGACCTTTCTGAAAGGAGATTTCCACTTCTGTCCTAGTTGCTTACTGCAGTTTCCTACTTCTGGTGGTTCCTGCCAAAGCTTAGCCTTGCGCAGCGCCGCCAGCGATCCAGCACCAGGTCTGCGTACTGAAGGAAACATTGTGGTTCCTGTGCTTCTTAGCATGGTTCATACTGTAACCAAAACGTGAAGTGGACCATAGGACCGCTTCGGACTCAGAAACATGCAAGAGGCTCAAGTGACAGCAGCTCAAGAGGCAGTCAGTGACAGCGGCCGAATTTAAAACGTCACTGAAGTTTCACTGCAGGCAACTGAATATCTTACTACCTCTCTTGAAGACACTGAACCTACATTTTTGACAGGTGTTCAGTGGCTCTCTGAAGTCACTGAGGCCAGGAAAGCTGCCGCTAGAGGTGATACGCTTTCTCTCTTTAGTTTCTCAGGCAGTGTCAGATGATCACTAGAAATTTGAGAATTTCTGTTTATAATCTTACAATGTGTTAGTTTCCCATCTAGCTTGGAGAGAGTCATCCTTGGAAGAGGATTTATTTATTTTGGTCTCAAGTGCCTTCATGCATCCTGTGCTTGTGAGGTCGTTTTGGGGATGCTGCTGCAAAAAGGGGGAACTTATATGAAAACAAACTTCTTACCCACATAGCTCTTCCAAACCCTTACCACCTCCTTACTCTGTTTCTAAGGCAGCAGAACATAACGGTCTGTGGTCCAGTTAGGGAATTGGAGTTTTTCAGTCTCCTCTGCATTCCTGGATAGTTTTCCTTGGCATTCATTTTAAAATAGTGGTTCATTTGTTTTTCCCGTGGATTACAGTTGATCTTCAGAGTATTTTGTGGACTACCGTATGTGCACATACTACACTTCAGGTTGAAGACATTATTTGTTATGTTTTAAGGTGACCCTATAAACCATTTAGGGGATTATCGGTGTCTGGTGGATCATGGGGTTTTGCCTGCTGCTTTGAAGTACCCTTCATGAGAATGGGAATGAGTTGTATTTTGACTCTTTGTAAAAGATGTTGATGGACCAGTTCTGAAACTAATTCATCTTCTGTGTTGAAGTTGCCTATGAAGTGGACAGTGATGTACTCAGACACACTCATCTGAGAAATGAGAGAGGTCTACTGACATGTATGTGGCACAAAAGAACATGACATCTAAACATGTTGAATCTCATTTTCCCCAGAAACTACCGCAACAAGTGGAAAAGCTGACCGTCAAACCATTGCTCCAAGAAGTGGGGACTCAGAGGAACAGTAATTTATTAGCACAGGGATGCTAATTACCAGGCCTTGTTACAAAGATTGGGGTTTTGAATCGTTGCCCCTTGTAGGCAGGAGGAATTGTTTTATAAGGGTAAGGAAGTCAAGTTACTACCCGATAGTTGCCATTGGAAGTGCTGCACCACTGCTGCTTTTGCTCCAGTAATCTCCCAGAAGCTCCAGGATTAAAGTGATCTTTCAAAATGAAAGTCAGAGTGAAAGGTGGCAAAATTACAAAGTTATAAGTGTATGTAGTCCTCCATACCTTAAAGAAATCTGGAAAGACACATCTTCACCTTGAAAAGAAAGGGCAGAGAGCGCAGCAGCTGCGTGTCCCTGCAGCCCTGCTTAGGTGGTTTGGAGGAGCTATGTACAGATGTTTCCACAGCCAAGGCGACCACATGTGATGCTTTAGTTGTGTCACCCCATTTTGAGGTGTAGGCCTTCAACGTCTCTCTAGAGCACTACATTGCCATGTTAGCAATATATCTTGGATATGGGGTACTTCTTATTAATGAGTGAATTGGTGGAAGCTTTTTTTTGGAGGTATGTGAGATATTTAACTGTTCTAAGGCTGAAGGAGCTAGGAGACCCACAGTCTGAACCCCTTTTCACACCCGCTGGCGCTAGCATCATCTGTTTTCTCAGCTGTGTTCCATTTTCCCCATAGGCTCTGTATGTGACCTTGTTGCAAGGCGCAGGCCTGGCTGCAGCTTCAGGACTTGCACCTACTTGCCGGATCCAACGGCCTCGCGCGCCTGCGTGACGTCCAGCGCATCACAGCCTTGGTGTACTGGGGGCGAACTGAGATTCAGTAGGATCTGTGTAGCCGCTTGTCTGCTCTGGAGCGACAGAAGGGCTTGATAAGTACAGTGAGGGAGGTGCCCTATATGCTTCCTGTACAGTTCAGAGCTCCAGCAATGGGAGTTTTGTTACTGGGAAGGTGGGCACACATGCAAGCTTAAAACAAATATGGACAGTGAGGGAGGAAAACACGCTTGAGCTCCGAGAGACCACGAGGACTGTAAGTTGTGCTGTGCTGATGGTGCACTCCAGGAGAAACAACTTAAAATCTCTCCAGATAAGTCACTGTCTCGGAAGTCAGCTCAGTGGGATCTGTGTGTAGTCAGTTGCTCAAAGGGAATTTCTTTACAGTAATTGGGTAATTTAAAATACGCCTTGCACAAACTCAACTTGTGCTTCATTAGAGTCCTGACTACCTGATTTACATGACAGAGGGGAACTGAGGCGTAGGAAGTGTGTTCCTCCATTGACGCTTTTCGCGTAGGATGAGGCAGGTCAGCGTCTTGGTGCTGCTGGCCAAAGGCCCCAAATGCAAAAGCGGAAATCACGTATGTCCCCGAGTAGGCGTATACACAGATGGCTTGTAATTACAGCAAGGTGGTAAGTAGAATTTATTTTCATCATGGGGCCAAGTTACTATTGAATTTGTATCATAACCATTATTAGCTGACTTCTTTTCTCGCATTTTAGGCTGATGCATGTTCTGCCCTTTAGTTTCCAGAATCTTGACAGATAAAACAAGGCGTCCGCCCTCTCAAAGCTCCCTTCCTGGGAGTTGGTAATACCACATAAAAGCCAGAAGTACTTGTTTAGGCTACTGACAGTGTATGACAGTTATAATGAGCTGAAATAACAAAGATGGGACATGAACAAAATTATGACAAATATTTAAATTGTCCTTAAGGTATCCCCAATTAAATTTTATTAAAAGTATCATGTAGCGTAAAAAAACCTCTTACTTTACCCCCAGTCCGAAGACTGCATTTTTTCCAAGGCGGAGGTGGCGCTGGCCCCAAACCACTTCCAAGGAGAAATGGAACAGTTGATATCTTTAACTTGAAGCTGTCTCTGTGTTGGCATCAGGCAGGAGACAACCGAGGTCCATCAGGGCTTGGGTCTATGAGACTGCGGAGGTCTTGCAGTTGGACCCAGCAGCAGTGATGGGCTGGCAGGTTCTTACCATCACATTTACTGTGGCTCCCAAACACCTATTTGACATCAAGATCCAGCGGCTCCAAAAAGCATCTTGGAGAGCTCTAGCTCAAAATCAAGCAAATTAAACTCAGTACAAACCAAGAATTTAATAACATCATATTTTAAGGTTTTTTTCCAGCTTCCTCACATTCCAAACTGGGACATCCTTTGACCATTATTGGTGATGAAGGCAACATTTCATGTTCTGCTTCATACATAAATGTGAATCTCAAGTGTCAAAGAATGCGGAAGGGAATAGAACAAACCAGCCTGAAAAGAATTAGCAGGAAAATAATTGTTATTCACCATCCTGGAAAATACATGGCTGCGAAACTACCTCATCTGAGTTGATCTCCACATCTGTGTAGCTTTTCATGTATAATAGTTCTTCCTGTGGGCTCTGAGGTGTTATTTCTTTCCCCCATCCCCTTACGTGTGTCTTTAAATGAATAATGATTGTGTGGTGGAGGAAGAGTAATTTTACCTCATTTAAAGGAGTGAGTGAAGGCTTTCTACAAGTTGTAAGCTCTTTGAGACCTTGTAGCTAACTGTGAATGACTTTCTCCAAAGAATCAAAGTGCTTTAAAATCCGGCTTCTGAGCTCCAGCAGTTGCGGGAGATGTGTGTCTGCCTCCCCCCCGGCTCCCTGCTCTCCCCTTCGAACAGACGGGATTAGCCAAACCCAGTTAGGGAGCAGCTGCGTGCACAGCGTGCGCCCGTGGGAGACGCTCTGGGGTCAGACGGGGACAGGCAGTTCTGAGCAGTCCAAGCAATAAAATCTCTTGCTGGACGAGAGCAGCACGAAGGAACCTCTGCGTCAGCGGGGTTTTACTCTGCGCAAAAAAAGGAGTGTTTCGGGGGCCCGTAGGGTGGGGGAGAGGGTGGGTTTGCTTTTGCGTATGACGTTCCTGCTCACTGGGCACAGTTCAGAAATAGGCTTTTGGGAGAAGTTAAACTTATCTACATCTTCCACTCGACATCCTCACCCTCAGACCGGCAACCTGCTCTCTCTGGAATCACGTCCTCATTTTGGGGAGATAGCACATCTCACGATAAACATTTTCCCTTTCATACTGTTGAACTGACCTTTGTGGCCAAGTGCAGCTTGTAGCTTCTCTGTTACTAAATGCTCAGTTCGTTGTATCTGTACCTGGAAAGATCCGGAGTTACCCAGTGGCTCTAGCAGAATTCAGATCTTGGCTTTCCACAGGCAAGAGGTTTGAAAGCCCCGGCAGGTCCCACGCTCTATCAGTCAGCACAGGAAAGGCTGTTTCACCCCCTGAGCTTGCTGTGAACCGGTGCCACGAGGCACCGAGCGTGTAAGAGGATCTGTGAACGGAGGCGTGTTACTTCCAGCCCTGTGGACAGGAGTTGCGTTACTGGCTTACAGCCGTGGCAGCGGACCCAGGGGGTCTCTCCCTGCCCGTCTTTGCTCTGCCGCTGCAGTAGTTGCTTGTGCCTGCCCCGACACTACTGGGTGACGCGATTAACGAGATTTGTCCTGTCTAAAGCTATTGCCTTTGATCCAGCTGCTGAGAAGATTAGGGTTTGCCTACTGGAAAACCACAGGGTCTGCAATCTCATGGGGCTTGTCCGGGACTTGACCACTTGACCTTCTGCCTTACGAAAGTGAAATGAATTATTGCGGGGGGGGGGGGAGAAGTGTGTAAAACTATTTGCTGCTACTGGTTTGTTCTCTATCTCTTGCCGCTCGGATGAGAACTCATGGTCCAGCTTTCCAAGTCCACAAAATTCCCTTACCTTAAGCTTGTGAATTAACCAGCTTTGTTTCTTTTCCTCAGTCTCTTTTTTTTTTTCACGAGTTTTTAAGATGATTTATCCTAAGTATGTTAAGTAACCTGTAAAGAACTTTTCTTAAATACATTTTCAGAATTTTATGGTAAAAAAGAACAACTTGATCTCCAAACCATGTCTGTTTTGTTTTTTTTTGCTACACCATCACTCAGGAGTATGAAAGATGCCAGTAACAGACAGGGTTTCGACTCTATGCAAATCTTTATCAGAGGCTTTCATTAAAAAAAAACAAGAAATGTGGGGTTTTTTTCATTTAAGACGCTGAAACTTCAGCATTTTACAGGTTACTATACAGCCTGATGCTTCAAATGTTAAGGTGAAAGCTACCCATTAATGATGTGTAATGAGTACTTCATTTTTTCTCCATATATGGAAACAGAATAAAAAATGAAATGTGATGAAAATTAACAGTAAGAATGACATTAATCAATCAAGAAGAATAACATTTATTAAAAAAACCTGGAAAATGTATTCCCTGCCACCATTTAGGCCACTTCAGAGGTTTTACTCAGCTTTAGTAAAATCAGTAACAGGATGTTCACAGTTACTCTCTCGACCACCATAGCAACATCTATACATTTTATTGGAGCAGTAAAAAGTGCTCATCTTTGACCTTGCTCTCAGTAATGTGAGATACATGACATCGTATGTCCACAGACATAGCTCTTCCCCCCTTCCCGCTCTAAAATGAGATTTACAAAGCGGCTGTTTGCTGACGGTGGAGGTCTCGGTCTGATTGCTGAGCGTACACAGGCGGAAACATCTTGCAGAAACTGCTCTTCCACCAGAGTTCGATGGTTTGGCATATGGCAGGGAAAACCTGCCCCAAATGCAGCCCGTGCGGTCTGCCCACAGCCCTCGGGGGTGTCGGGATGAAGGCAGCCTTGGTTTTAACACACCCATCAGCACTAATACTGTAGGAACTCTTTGAAACAGCCTATCTTTTCGTTTTGGAGAATGTAATGAGAAATGAAGGCAAGCTATATACAATGATTTCTGTAACTTTTGGTTGGAAAGGTGTTACTGCCAAAAGCAAAATCACCCGTTAATAGTTCTCAATAATACCCTTTTCCCTTTTTTAATATACCTACTACAAAATAATTAGAAACTGCAAAGCAAAGCCTGAAGTCTTTACGTTCCTCATTGCGCTTAGCACAGACGGGCTGAAAACTAACAACGCAGAGAGCAGTCCCTCCAGGAGCGGGGCCCCGCAGAGGTGAGCCTGCTGCCATGCATCAAACTGCATGTCGCTCTCAAGCGGGTTGCTCTCCGCAAGGGTTGCGCTGGGGACTCCGGGTTTAGGAACTTCGGCTTGAATACAATTTTTAACTCAGTTGGTGAAAGTTTCATGAATTTCTGTACGTTCTAGTCTCTGCTGTTACCAAAATGGTACATTCAGTGAATGAGAGCTCAGGTTGAAAAAGAAGAATTCATGGTTGAGTTTTTGCTCTTACCCTAATAAAAACTGGGTGTGTTGAAGAAAGTGACCACGGGTGTCCTGTACCATTGAAGTGCTGCATGTAAGCACTACAAACCCAACTGGATTTGTGACTTCGTAAAACACATTTAGAACCTTATTTTGGATTGGGCCTGGACTCCGATTTTCTTCACCCTAAAATACAGATAGTTAATGTCGAACTAATTGAGTTGCTTGCAAGAAGACAAACATCTGGTGTAGTTTTTCAAACTCACAGATGCAGATGCAGAAAGATGAGTTGATATGTCAGTGAAAAATTGCTCTTGTGTGACTGAAGAAAATTGCTTATATGTAACCAGAAAGTACTGAAGTGATATGAGAATATATAAACATCTAAATACAAAATACCTTGTTCATTTAGTAAAAAAACAAGCCAGAGAAAATGTGATATCAGTGAAACTTGTCTTAAATGACCAATAAAAATATGCTGCTTAAATTAAGTATCATATCAGAATTATTTCTAAGAGAAAATAAGCATGAATGTACTAAGTATGCTTAGGCATAAGTATGAGGCCTACGAGAGAGTGAGCTTCCCCAACCTTCGTTCTGTTGTTTAACCTTAATTGTATCAGGTTTTTTTGATGGTAACTATGTTGTATGCTGATGAGTGTCTTCTAATCAGTCTTTTTAGTTTTCCTGTAGTGCAGGATTGTGGCTGTGACCCAAATATTGAGAATGAGCATGGTTATGAAACGGATGAGAACTAAAAGGGAAAAATAAAAACTCTTGTAAGCATAAATCGGGAAAAAAAACCAACCTTCAACTGCTGCCATTTGCAGAAGACACGTTGTTCTGTAAACCTTCACTGGTGTACAAATAGGCCACTTCCCCTTTTGCAACTCTTCTCAGTCAACTAGTTTAAATTACCATGTTCAGGAATGCAGAAATTCTCAAAGTAAATATAACAGAGCAGAGCATTTAGCACTGGTGAGTGATAGCTGAAATGTTACACGACAGTACCTTTAATTCTTTTGTGACAAAACCAGGAGAATAGTACAAGTTTGAGTAGCCTCATTTAAATTTATATTTACACCTAAAATTAAACTCAGAGCCACAGCTCACATGCCCTTTATAGTTGCGTGTGTTGTTTGTAATGAAGAGATTATTCTCTAATGCCATCTGTTAAGTTTAGACTTCAGGGAGACAGGAAATGCTTCTATCTGTTGGATTTTAATGAGAGGAAATCTGACAACTGAGAAAACAAGCAGATTTTCAGTATCTTAGATTAACTTTCAGAAATTTTTTAAACCAAAATAAGCATAGGATCTCTACCTGTGAGACCACAATTTGAAGTATAGGTATATCTAACATCCATTTGGTAAACGGAATCTTCACAGAAACGTACACAAAACTTTGTTTCAGAAAAAAAAATGTGATATTTGACAGTGTCATACATGCGTCTGAAACCAAAATGAACATGCCAAAGTGTTCAGCGTTAGAAGTTAACTGGAAGCATTTCCCATTAGAGCAGCACAGCATCAGTGTTTGCTGCCATCTCTTCCATGTTCCAAGCTGTGTTTTTAAAAAGCAGCTTTAAACAGAGCCAGCTTTGCTTCCAAGAGCCAGCTTTTTACTTTCATGGAGTTTTTCTCCCTTCCTTCTTACCCTCAATATACCTCTCTCGCTTCTAATCAGTGTAAGTGCGTAGCTGTGGGTGAACGAGACTCGGTAACTGCCCTGGACTGATTTCTACGTGTGCGTTACGCCAGGTTTTGGTGACCCAGTTAACTTCAGGGCCCCAAAAACTCGTCCTCTGGTACAGAGAAAGCAGCAAGCACAGGGGTGAAAATGAGCGACTGAAAAGGGGACTTCCTTTTCCAGTGAAAGAGCCACTTGAACTGCTTGTAAAACTACAGCCTTATTGTGCTGCTGAAAAAAAATTCCATTCATATTATGTTTCTGATGAAATACCAGTTTTGAATGAGAACAAGGAACCACCAAATGAAGTACAATGTGATTTTGTTACTGTTCTTACACCCACCAAGTCTTGCTTTCGAACCGTTTATTGAAAAATCTGCTGCGCTCCGTAGCTCTTTCAGTTTTGTCAGGATGGTAAGAAGCTGTTAAATAAATTTGCTTTATAATGAAATCAGCTGCAAATTATATATTTTAAGCCATTTTTTGGTGAGTTTCTTAGCAGCCTACCATTTCATTTTCAGCCTGCTATAAACTTTCTGAAAGTTGGGTCTAAAACTATTCATATATTAAGCTGAATTTTGAATAGCTTTATATAAGAATTCTTTAATGTGCAAACCCCACAATAAGGAAATACATTATTTGAAAAGCTATCACTCAATTATTATAGAATTATTAAGTTGTCTTTTACTAAATATATTTATTTATGTATTTAAATACTAAAGTTTTTAATGCCTTATTCTGCCATTTTCATAATTAAGTTAATTTTGCAGTGGCTTTGCCTTTTGAAAAACATAATGGCATTTGATAAGCATAAGCTGGGGTTTTTTTTGTTTTCTTCAGGTATTTGACTAATTTGTAATCCTGTGCTACATTTTTAGCAGTAACGCCTTCCCTCACTGTGCTAAACCACCAGGTTCATGGTTTGTTCTTCTGAGACCAGATAACTGCTTTTACAGAACAGCTGAAAATGGCCACGGCAGCTGTTAACCTTGGAAAGTTGGGCGATCCCGTACTTTACTCACCTGCGAGATCATTCGTAGTCATTACGGTTGTAAATATTCTTGCTGTAAATTGAATGAATTCTAATTAGTGGAATACATACCATACATTTATACCTTCAGAAAAATGATTAAATATCTATTTTTCAATAGAGGATAATCTTGCAAGAAAATATACATTGTGTAGACATTCCCACTTTTAGTGCACCCACTCTACGCTATTTCAGCTTCAGAGATCAAGCTCTCAAAGCTGAGTCACACTGTATTAAGGGTCTTTTTTAATGAGAAAATCACTGATATAATTAGAATTTTTATATCTACAACTATCTATCTCACTAGATGGATGTGGCCAGAGTTTACTGCTTCTCTTTCTGTTCAGCCCCCTCCTTCAGTAGTTGATACTGAGCTACCCCTGCAATCAAGTTAGCATGACTTAACTGCTGTAAATGTTCGCACACATGCTCGCTTGCATGCTTTCAGGCTTCTGCAAATAGGAGGAATTCAGCTTTCCTTCCCACAACAAATCTAAACATTAATTATTTCACATTTGCAGCAGACTAAAACCATTTACAAAGTTTATCGCCATTGTTCAGGGAACATAACACAACTCCTAATTATTGACTTAAAAACATTTGTTTTGTAGGGGAAATAGATCCAGCATCACTATGTTTTATAGTAAGAATATTTTAAACAAGTTTTCTGAATACGACAAAGGCACTTCTGACAAACAGGTGTAAAAGAACCATTCATGCAGACCACTAGGTAATTAACACCTGAACTGCACAAATCAATGTTCTTAAATTCTCCTCTGTTAAGAAATGTATTTACATGTAGTCATAGAGTTAAAGGTATTTAGCATTAAGTGTGTGTTTATTTGTAGACGCCTTTTCAGAATTAGCATTGTCTGACTGTCTAACTCAAAATTTAGCAGTTTTTCACGCTGGATCACTAGTAATTTTATGAAAACCTAGAACATTGAAATCTTTCCTTCGTAAAGACACTCTTGCAGTTATTTCAACTATATCAGGTTGCCTTGACCATATCTGCATGTTTTCTAAGCCAAAGTGTCATTGAGACTGAGCCAGTGTCAATGATAAAATTTGATTTCAAGAAACTGTGTGGTATCTGAGTCTCAGAAGTCGGCATTAAGGGATACTACATCAGGCAAGATTTTTACCTACTATGACTGAGTAAAGACCTAGTGAAAGAGGCATCAGGAGATACGGCTTTAAAAAAGGAAAACTCAGTGCTTCACAGCGAGTTGCCCATAGCTTACTTGCGCAGGTATATGCGGACATACTCCAGGTCAAGGCGCTCACTTGTCCGGAATCTTTTGTCTGCCAAAGACACCGCAGCTGAGCCAGCTTACTGGCTGCACTGATGAATGTGCACAAATTCTGAAAAGCAGATAAAAAAAAGAGAAAGAACCTCTGCCATTGTATTATCCGAGTGTTTAGCTTATGGCTGTTGGTATGTAACTTACTAAAAATCAGGACTAGCTTTTTCATTTAGAATTAAAAAAAAAAATAAAAATTAGTGTTTCAGCTTCTTACTAAGGAAATGTGAAGCAAAAGACTAAAGTTGCCAGAAGGAAAGGACTGATTTCTGAGGTACTGCCCAGAAGGAAGCTCAAAGAGCACAACTGCTACCTCTGTTGGCAAATCCTTAATAGAGGCAATTACAGTATGAGGCAAAGAAATAAAAAAGCCTCTCAACCTGCTACATAAAACTGTTTATGAAAGTTAGCTAAAATGAGACTGATCTAGTCTAAACAGCAAGGTTGATTCAGACCATCTGTTACCATCATGTCTGGCAAACAAAACCATAAAAGAATGAGAAAACTGAGAAGAATGTGTGGAAAATGAGTCCAATTGGTAGGAAAGAATAATGAAGGGAATGGACTATTCACCCTGTCATGCTTTTAAGGAGGATTTTGCAAAGGCAGCGGGTAGAGGGGATCTTGACATGGGTCTCTGTGGCATGCCCGCATTTTCCTTGCAAGAATCGATATTAGGCTTAGAAGCTTTTATCCCCATTTGTATCATCTTTTGCGTTAGCAAATCCAGTTCATCTCAACTAAATTGTAAATTTCTCTCTTCTGATGAAAAGGGCAAAGACCATTTTTAACCTACACAGGGCCTTACGAGATTATATTTTTCTTGCATGACTCTAGGACTAAAGGGAAAAAAAATCTTCTGAAATACTTAAAATTCCCTATTTCACTGACGACAGATGCCCTACTCTTTTCCTCTCATGTTAAAGGTTTATTCATGGGGATTGTGACATGAGGACTAAAGAGGCAATCTTTGTTCAACATCTTAAACCTTTCCTAGTTTTATTTAAGGCAACACAATTAACAACTTTACCTCAGAACATACGGGTTTCTTTGGTTTTTCATAGAGTCTGTATTGCCAGTGCTATGTTTTCCAGCTACTCACAGAAGTGAAACGGCTGCATTTGAAAACTGGGGTTGTTCTGAAAGCTAACTCTGATTAATTCTTCCAAGGACAAATATGAGGTGAGGTTTCACTGATAAAGACATCCAGAAAAAAAAGTTATTTTATACGTGGACCTAATTTCAAATAAACGGGCAGCACTTACCATGGCCAGGTCTATTATCCACTTCCGCAGCGTTAGCATGTACCAGCCCCCCCCAAATCTTGTATTATGTTAAGTTTCATAGCAGTGAAAATTCTAGGATACCACAATTCTTGAAACTACCTGGAGAAATAGATTTGTTTAAACATTTGGAAGTAATCTTATTGAAACTTTACAACAGACTATACAATTTGGATAAAACATATTAAGCACTGGTTGAAACACTAAGTGCTCCTATTTTTCACACCGTTGTTGGTTGAACAGTGTCTGCAGTTTCTCAAGGGCTGCTCTAAAGCACAGGACTTGAGATTTAAGCCCAAATCCTATTTTTAAAAAGAACCACAATACACTGCTGTGTTCATCACGGTGAGTACAATCTACATGGGTAGCAATGAAAAAAAAAAAAGATTCATCATTTCCACCCTGCATCTCTAGCAATGATGTAAATTAAGAATTGATCTTATTCCTTATCAGCTGTGGGCCTTCTAAAGCACAGCTACACTACAAGCTTACTTCTTGAAGAGATTTTACTGTGATCCCAGAAATCAGCATGTGAACATGGAATGCATGTTGAGGGATGGGTGAAAATGATTTACAACAGTAGCACAAAACAAATGATGACATAGCTGCTATGTGAAGAACTACCAAATGAGCTACATGAACCAAAATTCCCAAATTTCAAAGGATACGTGACTGCATAGAACAAAGCTTGTTTCATGTTTCCACTGAAATGCAGAATAAACAAAAGGAGAATGACATCTGAAATAAATAAAAGATTGCTTTTCAGTGAAGGGAAAAAAAATGCAGTTCGAGACAGAATGAAGTAGCTCCACTGGGAACCATGTCTAGGGAAACTGGTTTCTTACAGGGTTGTCTCTCAAATTTGATTGATGTCCAAAACACTGCAAGCTCCAAAATGAAACTTTTCTCAGAATCTGGAGCACTTGTACCATGTGGAGTCACTGGAGAAAGAATGAGTTTACACTGCAACTCCACTCTGTGTGTAATTATTAGATCTCTCTCCTCTACCTGACCATCTATTTTCATAAAACATATAAGAATTCAAATATATTTGAGATGTTCATTCCCTCTTCACCCAGCCCCAGCTAGAACTGGTCAATGGATACATGTCATCGCAGTGGAGTACTGTATCTACAAGCCCTGGACTGCTGAATGAGCCCTGTTTTGTTTCCAAAATATGGCTTAAAAAATTACCTTGTGCAATGATGATGGGATATTCCAGGTATGTCTGCAGAGGGTAACCATAATAAATCTGGTACCTCAGAAACACAAGGAAGCTAAACAGAAAGACACAAACCAGCGTGACTGCATGAAGGGACAGGCCAGCTCCTTCACAACTTCTTTTTTCCAGTTTTGTTTGTGCCAAAAGGCTCGAGATAGGTGTAGCCCCTGCTGTCAAACTGATCAACCAAATATGACGACAAAGCACAAGCCTAATGATTCTGCAGTTGATTTTTGTTACCCTCAATTCGAATAAGATGTAGAGAGCTGCCCACACTTCTTGTCAAGGTCTTTATGTCACAGTGCGAAAGGCGTGATTTTATTAATTCCAACTGATGTGAAAGAAAGAAAGGCTTCCAGACCTAGAAGCTACCTTCTCTCTGCAATTGCCTTCATACCTCTGGCATAACTCTAATTTCTTTATGTTTGTAGTTCAATCTGTACATTAAGGAAGTTTTACAGGAATAGAAAACATTTTCCAAGCTGCCTCGACTACACTGTTACAAGATTGCCCAGTGTAGCTGTACTGGTCAGACTTGGAGCCTGTTCTTAAGTGCACCAAACAATGTCAATTCTCCTTCCTGCTATTCCACTATATAGTAACTAAAAGGAATTGAACTTCTATCACATTTTCTGTATTTTCTTCAACTTTCATGCAAATCCAATGGGGTTACACAGAAACTTCAAGGCTGCAGAAATAACAGAAAAGAACTTTTAGGGCATCATTTTATGTAAGGAAAATTTGATGGCTTCTGGTGTAGAAAGATGGCATAAGGAACTGCCTGCCTTGTACGAAATTGGCTTGTACCATATTCAGAATTCAAATATCTGAACTTCCTAGAAGTCTTGTTTCTTGTAGGGTCAAATCATATTCCTTGCCATCAGCACCATGCTTCTGTGTCACTCCTCTGCAAGGTCACTGCATTCTCACTCTGCAGAACCATCCCAGTTTGTACCAGTAGCCCCAAAGCTCTCTGCAACTGGGCCCAAAGTCTTTAAGGCTGCAGGATAAATAGTCTACTAAATAAACTAACAGTCCCAATAAATGTTCAAAAAAAAGGCTTGTTGCAACTCTTCCAAAATAGTTTTGCCTGGAGCAGGCGCAGAACCAGCAGTGGTGTGGGTATCGTGGTTATCAGACAGGTGCTGAGGAGACATTTATGGCTTCTCTGTGCTTATCTGAAACACTACTTATAAAGGCTTTTTAATGCACACCAATGCACGCGAACAGTTTTCACAGACTCACAGAATAGTTTGGGTTGGAAGGGTCCTTTAAAGGTCATCTGGTCCAACCCTCCTGCAATGAGCAGCTCAAACTGACCTTGAATGTTTCCAGGGATGGGGCATCTACCACCTCTCTAGGAAACCTGTTCCACTGTTTCACCACCCTCATGGTAAAATATATCTAGTCTAAATCTACTCTCTTTTAGTTTTAAAATTAAGATTTTAAAATGCTACCGCCACTTTTTGGCTGGGGCTGTGGGGTAAGTTATCTCTGCTGGAACTAGAGTTTAGTTCACTTACTCTGAGGTGTATTAAGGTTAAACAGCGACAACAGTCATGGAGAAACATGGGCAGTGAGTGGCCACATGGGAGACCACGGGGATTCTGCGCGGCTCTGCGAGGAGAGGTGTCCGTACGCCCGCGCAGCGCCAGACCCCGGGTCAACAGCTCTGCCCCTAGCAGAAGCGGAGGCACAGGCACCTTCAGAAAAGACATGCCATTTTTTGTGAGGTGATTTTTTCTGAAGAAAAAAACCTTTTTTAGCTTGGTGCAGAGAGGTAGCAGCCGTCTGGCTGGATGTTCTGGCCACCTCCATCCCTCGGTTCGCCAAACACAAGACTCTTCACAGCATTTTCTCTCACATGCTTATACCCACATTTACATGTACGTGTGTATGTGTACAGAGTTTCCCTATTTTCCATTCCATACAATCCTCTTTAACCAAGATTTAATAAGACTAGCCCATGTAAGCTTATTACAGACTGACAAATCTTTGGAGTTTGACAGGGTTTGTAATTTTCTTAAAGAATGATTATGTTTTAATTACTTGGGTGACAGAAGCCTGTCTAACTGGTACCATTACCTGCACAGCTGGGCTCACGGACCATTTAATAACCTAAATACATGGCTTAAACCCAACAGTAGGTGTTGACTACATGGGTGGCCCAGGTTGGTTTGGGGCAAGTTAAAAAAGCTGAGTTTCCCTTTAACCAACAGCGCAGAAAAGCTTTAAAACAGGCAATTTCTGCTCCAGAGAGTTTATGCACCTAAAGAAGGCAGGACGCAGCACCCGCACATGACAAGGTGGTAGGAGAGTCACAGGCTCAGCACAGACCAACAGACAGTTACAAAAAGGAGCAGTTTTAAGGCCGACAAGAGCAAAGGCTGCTGGCCGCCACCTTCCAACAGCCACTCCACGCATTCTGACGCGTTACCAGAGCTGTGGAGGAAGGAAATTAATTATTAATTGCCGCTGCAATCCGCCCCTCACGGTCCCAGCCCCCCCGCGCCGCTGAGGGAAGCCCCGCTGAGGCGAGGCGCTGCCGCCCCACCCCAACGGCTCCTCCCGCCGCGCGCCCCCGCACTGCG